TGCACCAAGGAAAGGTCATGTGGGCACACAGCCAGGAGGCATCTCTCTCTGCAAGCCAGGAAAAGATCATCATCAGGGCTTACCATGCTGGCAGCCTGACTGCAGATTTCCAATCTTCAGAACTATGACAAGTTTCTGTTGTGTACAGCACTCAAACACTGGGTATTTCCAAATACTGTGGTATTTGGGAATGGCAACCCAACAACTGTCTTTTGCCTGTATGCTTGAGTTACATCTTCACTGATATACTACTCTCCAGTCATAATTCCCCAGCAGAAGTACTGTACACATTGGCCATTATGTTCCAGCAAGATGCTCTTTGTGAAATCTGAGTACCGACTGTACAATGCACTTGTTCAATACTAGCAGGCAATGCCTTTACATCACCATGCTTTATTGTAAATTTCTAACAGGTTGTCATATTCATGGCAAAAGTTCATTTGTAACGAAAACTGATGTGGCCATTTTTTTTGATGACATTCTTTAGTAGAGTAACAGTCCATGAGCACCTTCTACTAAACACTATGTACTGTACCAATATATGTGATCAATGACCCTATCCTCAAGAAGGAAAAAATAAAAACATCCTGCTATATATAATACAAAGTGGAAAGAGTCTTCACAGTGCTTGATATTCAGAGGGAATAAGTAGCAACTACCAAGAGGAATGAATGAAAAGCATTTATTGAAGGCCTGTTATTTGGCAAGCAATAAAGATCCTTTATTGATATCATCTCCTTTAACCTTTAGGAAACCTGTGAAGAAAACGATCAGTCGCCATTTTAGTGACATAGAAAACTAGTTTAAGAAACTGCCTAATACTACAGAGATCTAAGATTTGAACCCAGTTCTGCCTGATTACCAATAAAGCTCTCATTATTTACTACATTATACAACCTGTTGCAAAAGTAAATGAGAAGGTTCAATCAGTAAGATGGCATATGACCAAGTACTGCGATGACAGGTAGCTGTTAAGTCAAAGAAAGAACTGCAAATGCTTGTCTGGCATTTTCCTCAATGGATGGGACAGGTGGATGGTAAGTCTACCGCCAAGGAATTAAGTCTTTCCTCATCTGAAACCCAGTTCTGGATACAGCCATTATCAATTCCAGGAAAGAAGCTCTTAGTAATTTTTTTCTTGAGCTTCCTAAACGTTTTTGGCCTTGAATTTTATTTCCTTCATCATATTTTTGCATGGATGCATAAGCAATAAGCCTTCTCTGTGCTAAGACTTATCCTTCTCGGATATTTCTAGAATAGTAGAAATTCTCCGAAACAATGTAAGATGCAAAGCAGTGGTTTTCAAAGTTAAACTCCAACCCACTAGATATTTTAGGCCATAAACATTCTTAAAAGGACAGAATAGAAATTGCAAAGCATTGCATATGGTAAGTACAGCTCCATGACACTTACATATATATTTAAATATGTCTGTTATTTATGATATTGGGCCATGATGTAAAATATACTGCTGATAGGAAGAAACAATTTAAATAATAACAGAGTCTATGTATAAACCAAGTATATGCCTTTTGTGGTTTTTGGAAAGCTGGCTGTCATAATTTGGTAAGACATGCATCTAGTCAGTGTGTTCTACGGTCTTTCCCATCTACTTTTGCTTATCAAAATTGTTAACTTTTTTTTTTTTTTTTTTTGGTCTTTTTCCTTTTTATCGGTACCAGGGATCGAACTCACGCCTGCCTGCTTGTAAGGCAGGCGCTTATACAGCTGAGCTAAATCCCCAGTCCCCCAAATTGTTAACATTTTAACAGAGTAGTGTACACTATTCTGATTAGTTCTTTTATTAACTGTTCACTCATACTTGCTGGCATTTTGTCCATTATAGGTGTTTCTGTTTCTTGGATAATTGTCCTTTTCTGAGATGTAAGACTATTAACCACCAACACTCACCAATTTAGGATTTTCTTACTGTTTTTAAAGCTATCATATTGGATTGTATTTACACAAATACACAATGCTAGGCTCTATTCCCTTGTTACACTGCAATCTTATAACTTTTTCAAGGTTTTCTTTAATCAAACCTTGTTTTAATTGTTAGTACTCCCAAATGTAGTTCAACAATACAATCAAGCTAGTCACTGTCCTGGATATAAATAACATTAACAGCTGTCATAGGTACCTTGCTCTTCCATATATTATTTGTCTCTGTCATTGCTCTTACTCTTCAAATGTTATCTGTTCCTCAAGACTTAACCCATTCCCTAAAGTCTAACTGCTTTCAGTGCTACTGCTTATTGCCTTATTTGAATGTAGATAGCACTACAATTCCTCCAAATAGTAAGAACTTCATTACAATGGACTTTATTTCCATAAATATGAGCCTGTATGGCCCTAGAGATAAGGACCATTGTTTACACAGCTCGTTTCTACAGTTTTAGGTAACTACATTTGAAAAAGCATTAGGCAATGGAAGATTATTATCCTGATACTGAGGCATCTGAAATAAGCAATTGGGAAAACAAGACTCTGATATCCCTCTTTTTTTTCCTCATGGCATGAGTAGTACTATATAAACGGAAGGCTACCAAAACATCCTGAAGACAATTAGCCTGTAATTTATAAGTTTGCGCATTTCAATAAGGGGGAAAAAAGTCTCCTCAGTGCTTCAGGTTTTCCACTACAATGATGTTTCATTTTTATAGCCCTTATGTCAGTATGCTACATAAAATCAACTCCTGATAAACTGCAGCTCCTTACAGCGAGATCACTAATAAGACATACTATCAAGTAGTAATAAAATATGTCTATGTATAGTTTCACCTACTAATTTGGGGAGAAACGGATTTGTCCCACTGTTGCAGTATTGGTAGATAAAGGTAACCACGACTGGGGGTAATTAATATAAACAAAGATGCTAAAGTAATGTACAAAAGTAACAGATGTCAAATCAAATGCTAAATACGTTATCAAATGTAAACTAAGTGAATCTTTTCTGAGTAAACCTTCATAACTTGGTGCACCATAAAATGCCAACACTTCTGACTCACATATAAAATATGAAATACAACCTAAGAGCTTTTTAAAAAATTCTTTAGCATAAGCAGACACTAATATTGTTTTGCATCAAGATTAGCATCAACCTGAAGATGAACTGATAGGTCAAGTTTAATAGGGTAAAAAACGACTTCCTGGATGGAAATTACTACTTGAAAAACTCTAAACAGGTGAAAAACACTCGACCAGGGGCTGGGGATTTAGCTCAGTGGCATAAGCCCTGCAAGCAGGCGGTAGTGAGTTTCATCCCCAGTACCGATTTAAAAAAAAAAAAACAGCAACAACAAAACACTCGACCACATCACCACTGTAGAAAAATACGGAGATTTAAAATTTTCCCCACTCCCAAAATAATAATCCCAGCAGCTGAGAGCATTTTAAAAGATTTAGTTGTACAGACTTTTACATTTGAAAAGCAGGTGAAACTTTCACTCACAACCGTCTTTAGTTGTGAATTAGGAACATGCTTATGAAACTGTATAGTGTGAAAGTCTTTTTCTTTTAAAGATTCTGGTAACATAATCACCAAATAACACGGTTCAATGATAGTAATGATTGCATAGTATTATTTACTGATATAGCACCATGCTAACCATACTTTCAGAGGTCAGGACCGGGAACACATTCCTGCAACAGATCAACATATTATTCCTTTTACTGATCTAAAAACTGTGGCACCGAAAGTGTGAATTACTCAATGTAATCATGTCGTCACCAAGGGACGACAAGAATAGAACCCAAATCCCTTGACTATCAGGCTAGTGTTTTCCACTAATTGTGCTCCTTTCTACTCATCTGAGAGCACCAAGTGTAAAAGGTTACAGGAGGGAGTGGACATAAACGCGCCAAGTTGGCCAGGTGGAAACCGCACGGAAGGTCCTCGGGAATCGCCCTCTGACACTTGCCTTTTGTTCTGGCTGAGAGAGATGAAAGCAGCAATCACTAATCCCCGGGACCAAGAACTGGAACTAGGTACCGTGCGTTTGGTAACCCTCCTCCTCTAGTTACCCTCTCCTTCAGGCCCACCTCGGCGGTCCCCCGCCCCTCAACCGGGTCCCCGTCCGCCGGCTGCAACCCCGCAGCACAGCACTGTCAGGCTCCAGCCCTCTGTCCGGCCTTCCGCCCGTCCCGAGGCGGTGCTGCGGCTCTCCGAGAGCCACTTGCGTCGCTCTGGAAACCGAAGAGCTGCCCAGCCTTAAAAACGTGTTTCGAACGTTAGAAACTTCGGAGCCGGAATGGAGGGTGGGGGAGCACACTACCGCAGTGCGTAGGTCTGGGCGTAGCTCGTCACGACCTAACAAAATTTTAGACAATAAAAACAGTAGTTTCTCTCTTCAGCTGGGAGCGTCGCCACATACTCCATCCCTCGGGCAAGCTCCCGCGGGAAAACGCTTTCCGGAGCGCTGCTGTTCACGCTTTTCCAGCTCTGGAGGAGGAGACCATCGCTCGGCTCGCGGACCCCGGGGAACTCCACAGTTACTCCGCCCGCCGGGGTGGGGCCAGCCTAACCGCCGCGCCTGCGCTGTTTGTTCGTCAGCCCGCGCCAGCGCACTACAAGTCCCACAAGACAACACTCCGGGGGTGGGTGGCCGCCTTTACCTGCCGGGAGCTCATTGAAACGGCTACTACTCTCCCCTCCCCGCTCCTGTCCAGTGTGCTTCCTATTGCTAAAGGCTATTTCCTCTTGAGGCCGGAGAGGAAAGAGCTTTAGCAACCCCTACCTCTAAGCTCCTCGCGTACTCGCTTTTTCCGTCTCTTCTCGGACTATGCCCGATCCCCTCCCCGGAGTTGCTCGGTGTAGGTGGGAGACGGAAGCTCTAATAGGCCAAAACGGGGAAACACGGTCGCGCTTCCGGCTACTGGGCTCAGGAAGGTTGCGCGCACGCGCTCGCTGCGACTCTGGCGCGGTTGACTTCCGCTCCCACTGTGCTCTGCGAGCCGAATCATGGATCACACTGGTAAGGAGGCGGAGGCAGTGGGGGTCCGGGTTTCATGCCCCCTTGGCCGGTCTGGGACTGGTCGCCCTGCCGGCAAGAGGAATAACGCTCGCCCCACAGCACTGACGTGTGGTGGTGAGAAATAAATCTCACACACCCCTTCCTGTGCCCAGTAGGCCTGGTGCTTCTCGGCCTGCCCTCCAGTACGGTATCTCCATCCTTAGTGCCGGCAGCAACCGCTGCTTCTCACGTTCAGCTGAGCTCCAAAGCCAGACAGTGGGCGGCGCAGGCTTCGTGGGAAGGGGAAAATGATAGCTCTTTATTTCCCCTCAACCTGGTTACTCTCCCTTACGTTATGGGGCACTGGCGGTTGGATTCCACTCTTAGAGTTGGAGAAGCCTCATTACACTGAGAGTGGATGGGCGAAAGTGGGTTGGACACTTCCTGCTGTCTCAGCCAGCTTTGGGCGGGTGCGGCGATGGTCGCCTCCTATCGTTAATTGTCTCTCCGTTCCTTCATGGACTAGAGGTTATAGAGACCAGAGTCGAATATAGTTTTCAAAAAATTATAAACAGAGCAGCTTTTCTGTTTAAGCCTTTCAAAGCATGGCCCGCGCTTCTGCTGTGGCCCTTTCTCATCATTTGGGAACATTTACAAAGAAGATCTTAAAATGAAGATATTCTCAACCCTTTCTGCAAGTAAGACTGGCTCCATCCTTTCTGTTTCTTGGCTTCTCTTATGGTTCTTGGCTGTTAAGTGAATGCGTTGGGGTTAGTAAGTGCTTCAGATAGTATGTCCATCATAGCACGAGTTAAAAAAAGGTTTTGTTTTTTTTTTTAAAGCATTGATTGTAATGTCCTCAGTCGTTAGCCACTTACTTACGTATGTAATGTATATGTTTGTTTATGCTAAATATGCACAGATAGTTGTAGGCCTGGAGATGGAACGGTATGCAACAATACTGAGCTGTTGTCCTCCTGGAGATTACGTTCTCTTGGAGAAGACAGGCTTTTAAAAAACGTAGTGTTTTGAAGAATAACCGGTTCTGTGGAGTAGGAAGTTTCAGAGAGGATAGTCAGGGAATGTTTTTCCGGAATGGTATTAATTAGTTAAGCTGAGATCAGTTGAGAAGGATCCTGCCAGGAAGTGAAGCAGAAGGGAGAGCATTTTCAGTAAGCACAAAGGCACTGAGAGGAGGTTAGTAGACGATAGCCTATTTGGTAAAAAGAAAAGAGCTTTAAGATGAGATTGCAAAGGAAGGTGTAAATCTGGTTTCAGAGCTTTGAAAGATTTTAAGTGAATGCGAAGCCATTGAGTAGAAATAAAGGAGCATAACCTTTTAAACATACAATAGACTGTTAGATGGAGAATGGTGTAAGAACAATAGAAAATACACAATTTAGTACATGACTGTAGTAAAACGAGAGGGAGACCTGATTTAGTGATGATGGAGAAGTGGGATTGTGTAGCTCTGGTACAGTGCTTCCATAGCAAGCTCAACACCCTAGGGTCCTTCCTCAGTACGCACGCGCACTTACAGAAACAAATATTTTAGTGGTGGAATTCAAACACTAACTGATTGGTTTGGAGGTATATGAGAGAAATTCGAAATGCATGAGATTTTCGTTTGAGCATCTTGGTAGTGCCTACTACTGAGTTGAGGAAAACTTAGAAAAACATTCATTTGAAGGTAGCAGATACTGTTGGGAACAGGAATTTGGTTTTGTATTGCTGCCATGTGTGAGGTGTGTATTAAGATATATGAAGGGAAATCTTAAGGTCAGAAGAATGATGTACCGAAAATACGGTAGTATGTTATAGTTGATATCTTTGAAAGCACGAGAATTGGCGAGATCACTTCAGGAGAGTGAGGATAGAAGAGGGCTGCAAGGAACTGCAGCTTCCCACCTTTGAAAAAAGTATAGAGTTGAAATTCTGGTATGGTGAAGCGGGTGTAGCAGATACTTTGTTGCAGCAAAGTATTTCACATTACAGCTGGTTACTGGGTTTGAGAGTCATGTCCCTGTCAATTTCAAGTTGTTAGGACATTTGAATATAGGTGAATATATAAAAGTATTTATTATCCTACTTTCCTAAGTTACAAACTTGCCTTCAGAAATAAGTCATCCTAACATGTAAGTACAGCTCACTAGTGAGCTGACCAGTTAAAAAAGGAGTTTCGAGTCAGGTATAGTTTCTGCTTAACATTAGCTTGTTTTGTATTTTTTAACGCCTTTGAGTTACTGTCCTTAATTTTTCATATCAAAAAACAGTATCAGGGGGCTGGGGATTTAGCTCAGTGGCATAAGCACCTGCCTTGCAAGCAGGCAGTCGTGAGTTCGATCCCTGGTACTGATAAAAAGGAAAAAGACCAAAAAAAAAAAAAAAAAAAAAAAAAAAAGTATCAGTTGCTGTTCACTGATCATGATGAAAAAATTAGAAACCTTGCAAAACATTCAGGTTTTCATGAAATTCATAGACATGAATTGGATAACTATTTAAATTACAAAGCCATTGGCAAATGACAAATTGACCAGTTATCTAGTAAATTGAAGACATCATGACTGCATAGGCATCTTAAAAGAGCAATTTTAATATCAAAGGATAAGGAAGTCTTTGGGAAAATTGATGAAATCTTGAATATTATACAAAAGTGACCCATTATATGATTATAATTAAAATTCAAATTGAATTGAAGATGTTCTAATAGAATTTTACTAGGAAAAAAAAATCACTTCAGGAAACTCCCAGTTAACAGTTGATTCCATTCTCTGGTTTTTCTAAGAATTAGCACTTTTGTACTAAAAGATATTTTTGTTCACTTTATTGAAGAGAAAAATCCTAAATGTTTTAAAATTATATGAAGGTGTTATTCTTAAAGATGGATTCGCCTTCACTGGCAAATTATTCTTAGTTCTATCTTTGTATTTACTATACCAAGATCTTTGTTACACACTTTTGTGTTTTGCTATTATGTATTAAAAAAGAAATCAAGCCGGGTGTGGTGGGCCACACCTGTAATCCCAGCACTCAGGAGGCTGAGTTGGGAGGATCATTGCAAGTTGGAGCCCAGCCTGGGCTACAAAGTGAGCTCAAGGCCAGCCTGAAATGCATAGCAAGACCTTGTCTCAAAAAAGACAAAAAAACCCAATAAACAAACAAACAAAAAAACCCAAGCTTTATATTTTCTTAATTTAAGCAAAAATCAGAAAGCCCCCAAACCCAGAATATTGTCACAATTAAATGCTGTACTTTCTAACTTAGAGTCTGTAAGGCAAGCAGCAAAATTTCAAGGGAAAGCAGACCCTTAAAAGATCGGTTATGTCAGCAATAGAAATCTTAAGTATTCAGGGTAATGTGAAAAGGACCTGCAGTGAAATGTTGGTATTTCCATCCACAAAGATAAAACCATTAAAGGTTCTTTTTAATATCTGAAGGACAAGATTAACTATCTGCCTACAACAGCTTTTTTTTAGTTCATCGGAGAGTCAGGAATACTTTTTGTGCAAGAAGAAGTCATTCTGTCATGTTTTTCAGCCGTTGCATTGCCTGTGAGTTGTCCTATATAGACAGGCAAATGCAGTGAATAATAGATAAAATACACTAATCATTTTGTTAGACCAGTTAGTGAAATGTTGGAAGTTGATCAAGTCAGGTTTATCCTACCTCAAGGTTTTACCTCTCTGGGCAATCTGTATTCCGTGACCTCCCCACTCAGTACTGGGATATTTTGACTGCTAGGCGAGCGCTGTACCTGTGAATTTGTGAGCTACATCTCCAGCTCTTCTGTGATTTGTGTGTGTGTATAAGATTAGCCATTATAAGAGTAGAAAGTAGACAACAAAGATTTAAAATAATCATTTAGGGCCCATCTTGAATTTTTATTTGATATATTCACAAAAAATGAGAATGAGTGAATTTAACAGGTATCTGCAATGCTTACAGACTTGGAAGTCTTTAGTATTAGTTTATTGCTTCCTTATTTGTCTTAACGAATTTTATGTGGACAATTTGGTTATCAGTGTGGAGTATAATATTTCTTGCAGGGGCAGTCCATGGCTTTATTCAACAACTTAATAATTACAAGTAGAAAAAAAATGTTGTATTTCCTAAAGCATTTTCCTTTTTATCTCTATGTAAAGTTGAATGTTTTATGTTATACCTTTTCTAAAATTTTTTTTATTGAAAGAGATTAAGATAAAAGAGGACATAACAAAGCAGATCAGAACAGGACAATTTAACAAAAACAGTATTTCACCACAAAACAACCCAATATAACAGTAGCTACCATAATGTCTCTTTCCTTGAAATAGTTGAGCATACCTTCATAAACAATAGTATCAAACATAAAAAAATAGTATCCCATTAAAGAGAATGAAAGTATTACAAGGCATTCAGAACCAAATAACAGAGAATGAAAAATGGTTACTATATTTTCTCATTGTCTATAAAAAATTTATTTATACTACTACACATAATAAAATCCAATAAGATACAACATGATATAACCAATGGAAACAGAAGAACAAAAGTATGGTAGGACTTCAAAACAAGATGATACTAAATTAGCACTGGCTATTTGTAATATCTTGTTTTCTTCAAAATAGTTGTTCATACCATCACAGATAATAAAATCAAACAACCCAGGATAAAACCATTCCAACTAATAAATGGAAACATAAGGCTTCAAAGTAATGTAATGGGGAATCATGATTACCATAAACTTTTATGTACTCTTACCATTTCTTACACTAAGGAAACTATACGATATTTATACATGTGAGTTTGATTTATTTCACTTATGAGTATGGTCTCAAGTGGAGTCCATTTATTTATAAATATCTCAGTGTGATCATTCTTTATAGCTGAGTAGTACTCCATTGTATAAAAATACCACAACTTTTTTATCCGTTCTTCAGTTGTTGGATGCTTAAGTTGTTTCCAAGATCTGGCTATTACAAATTGTGCTGCTATAAACATGGGTGCACATATATCACTGTGGTATGATGTTTTGAGTTCTTCTGGGAATATGCCTAGAATTCGAATAGCTGGATCAAATGGGACTTCCAATCCCAGCTTTTTGAGAAATCTCCAGACTGACCTCCACAATGGTTGCACCAGTCTACATTCTCACCAACAGTGCAGGAGAGTTTCTTTTTCCCATATGTTATATCTTTTAATATACTTGAAAAAAGATAACTTTACTAAGCTTTACATGAGTCAGTTTTATGAAATAATGCACTTGCTTACTCATGGGACATGAGTTAATTTATTTCATAGATGTAACACAAAGACTAGAAAATGTCAGTTGTTTCAACTCAGTTGAAGTTAGAAAGCCTGTATCTTCCTAAATTATTGGTTTATATTACAGTGCTAAGAATAATTCAGTCACGTGTGTCTATACAGCATAAATGCATTTTTGCGTGTTTCTAGTAAATGTACAATTATTATATGTCTGAATACATTTCAGGTAAGTCATTTTACACTAAGGAATTAATCATTTTCCTTAAAATTAACAAATTTCAGATGCATCATTTAATTTTGCCTTCCAGTTTGGGTTTCCAGTTTGATTGTCCTGATGTAAATTTAGTGAATAGATTTAGTAAATTTATTGAGTGCCTACTTTGCATGCTTGATGGTCAGACACAGAGATAGGAATGGTCTGTTTCTTTTCATTCTCTCTTTTTTTTTTTTTTTTTTTTTTAAGTTTTAGAAGGTCTCTTTGAGTTACTTTAAGACAAAATTCTTATTTTGGGTTCATGAGGGTTTTATATTTCTTTAAATCTAGAGTTATATGAAAGATTTTATTGTCTGTTTTTATAGGGAGAAGCAAAGGGGTTCATGTCCAAAAGAAACTAATTAAAAAGCATTGTGTTAAAACTTTATCCAAAATAGAGAAAACTAGCAGTGTTTAACTGCTATGCAAAATCAGAACCAAGACCTTTGACATTTGATATTGTTGGTTATATTGTTTTATTACCTGTGACAGAATAATCTTCAGAAAGAACTAATAGAAAAAATTTATTTTATTTTTCTAACATAGACAATGAGTTACAAGGCACTAATAGTTCTGGATCGCTGGGTGGTCTTGATGTTCGCAGACGAATTCCTATAAAGCTCATCTCCAAGCAAGCAAACAAAGCCAAACCTACACCTCGAACTCAGAGGACTATAAACAGGATGCCTGCTAAGGCTACAGCTGGTGATGAAGGTAATTTGTGTAAACTTAATGGTCTAACAGTCTGTGATTGTGCTAAATAATTCTTGTGATTGTATTTACTTATAGCTACCTTTAAAAGTTTTTTTTTTTACATACTTTATTCTTCAAATGTTTTGTTTGACATCTTATTTTGGCATCTTTTACGTTTTTCTTCCCTTTATAAGTTTCTTATTTAAAAACAAAAAACTAAACAGTATTATAGAAAGCATAACATTAAAAATAAAATTATCGAGGCTGGGGATTTAGCTCAGCGGCATAAGCGCCTTTCTTGCAAGTGTGCGGTCGTGAGTTCGATCCCTGGTACCAATAAAAACGAAAAAGACAAAATAAAATAAAATAAAATAAATAAAATAAAATTATCCCTTGTTTCCCTATAGTCCGTCCCTCCAAAGATAATGTTAAGACTTTCTTATATGGCAGTATTAGTTTTTTATGTATAACTGCTTTTTTTCATGTATTCTGCATTTGATGTTTTGCATTTCTTATCAGTACATACAGATGTAATCTCAGTTTTTAAAATTTATTTTACAAAAAGGTAAAACTAAACATAAAGCAGATCAGAAGAAAACAATGTAAGTGACAGATTTCAAAGCAAGACAACAGGAGATCTACAGTGGTTACCATAATGTCTCTTGTTTTCTTCAAAATGGTTGTCTATATCTTTACACACAATAAATTCACACAAAACAAAATAGTATAAAACTAATCATAACAGAGTAATGAAGGCATTACAGGCCTTCAAATCAGACAATAGGAAAATCAATAATGGGTGCCATAATGTCTCTTGTTTTCTTCAAGATAGCTGTCTATACCTTCATGTATGGTGAAATTAAACAATACAAAATAGACTAAAACCACTCTGAACAAAGTGGATTTCACAGCATGATGATACGAAATCAGCAATGGATACCATAAAGTCTGATTTTCTTCAAAGTAGCTCTTCATTTCATCACACATAATATAATCGATTCTCATAAACTGTTTAGGAGGAGTTCTACACATGTATAAGCCTCTACATATATACTTATGCTTTCTGCATTAGAGGGAAAAACAAAACAAAACAAAACATTACTAAAAAAATAAACAAAAAAGACAACTATAGCAAAGAGCCCAAAACAATTAACGATATAGGCCTTCAAAACACGGTGGTAGGAACAGAATTAAGGTTGATATTTTACATAGTGATCTTTAAGAGTTCTCTAGTCACCTGACACAAACATGCAAAATTGTTCTAATCCTATGAATATTAACTGCTTTGTTCTACAAACTTAGAGAATTTGTAGTGCAATCATTTTAGCTATCCTAAGTGTGTTTATACAAATTTAGATATTTTTCTTTTTCCCCCTTTGAGAAAATTCTTACCCTGTCACTATATTTATTGAGGATTTTGTATCTTATGTACTCTTACCATTTCTTATACTGGGGAGACAATACGGTATTTACTCATGTGAGTTCACTTACAAATATTGTCTCAAGTTGCAACCACTTATAAATATCTCAATGTGATCATTCTTTATAGTTGAGTAGTACTCCATTGTATAAAAATAGTAGGTTTAGATATTTCATTTATAGATATACTATAATTTATTGATTTTTAAAAATTTTTTGTTATAGTAATGTTATACAGGCTATTAAATATGCTTTCTAAAATTTGTACTTTGCAAACATTGGGACATTTAATATTGTACATTTTAGAATTTGTGGGTTCTGTCAGATTGCTCTTCAAAAAGGATACATTAGTTTATATACCCACATGTCAATGTTTGATATTATGAACTTCAAATAATTTTTGTTTCATTTGGTCACTTTATAGTGTGTATTTTCTCCAGTGGTCTTTTGCATTTTGTATAAAATTTTTACTGTAAAGAGCCTTAAGATTCTATGTAGTCAGGTTATTGTTCTTTGCTCTTAAGACTTTGTAGACTTAAAACATTCTTGAACGCATCTTCTTTTAGGAGTTTATGAACAATCTGGGCTATATAGTGAGTTTAATTTAAGGTCAGCCTGCACTATAGAGTGAGATATTGTCTCAGAACAAAATAAACAGGTCTTCCTTTTCATTTGTCCACGAATGTAAAACAGTTTTGCTATCTTACCTTTTAATACAGATTAGCAAACTATTACTTATAGGCCAAATCTGGTCCTGTTTTTATAAACAAAATTACTGCAGTGTACAGTCTGCAGCTGCCTACTTTCATGCTATGACAGCAGAATCCTATAAAGCCTGAGACATTTACTGTCTGGCCTTTTATAGAGAAAGTATGCTGACCTCTGCTTTGGAACAATTCTAGAAATATTTATTTGGTTTTCTCAAAACAAAAATAGTTGTGGCCTTGCTTTATTTTTTCTGTAAATAGCTAACCAGTGTCTCAGCCTCTGAATAATCTGCTTTTTCCTTGCTGAATAGGAGTCTTGCCATTAACATTAAAATTACGAAAGTAGTTGTGCCTATATCTAAATTTTCTATTTTGTTATAGCAATCTGTATTTCTTTATCGGAACCAGACTGTTGAAACTATACCTTATGTTTTCTTCCACTGCAGAATTTCTCTCCCTAAATAAGTATATTTGAAGTCAGAATGTTCTTTTTTGTGGGGGGTATTGGGGATCAAACTCACAAACTCAAGCTTGTGAAGCAGGCGCTTATGCCGCTGAGCTAAATCCCCAGCCCAAAGTCAGAATGTTCTTAAATCATGGTAGCATGACTAGGGCATGGCTCAGTGATAAAGCATGTGTTTGGCCTGTTCAAGTACCCAGAAGTATTCTCAATTATAAAGTAATAAAGATGGGCTTGATTGTCAACAGGATTACTTCTGGTCAATATTTTAAGCTGCGCTTTATCTGTTCCTGGAGCTTTGAAAGACATCAGGTAGACTTAATAAGGATACACACACACACACACACACACACACACACACACACACTTCTTAGATAAAATTTGAGATTTGAAAAGTTAACAGGTAATACTTTTTTCCCTCAGAAGGATTTGATTATAATGAAGAAGAACTGTTTGGAAATCAGCGAAGATTTCCTGAACATCTATTTTGGGACTTTAAGGTATAGCTAAAAATGAAAAGTCAACTGTTATATACTTGCAATACTAAATGTGTAAAGAATGGTATGAATTTTTATTACATCTGTTTTTTTCCTAGCATATATGGATTGTTTGCTTTTTTAAATGCCTTTTTGTACTATTTCTAAAAATAATTTGAAGTAATTTTCAGTAAAGTCAAGTAAAATCTAATGGACCATTATTTTAAAAGAAAGAGAAAAAAAATAGTCTCTGGGAGACTAGGGTAAGATGATTACAAGTTTGAACCCAGCCTGGGCAACTTCTAAACCTGTCTCAGAAGTGGAGGAGGCCTGGGGAGGCATGGAATGCGGCAGCAGCCTGTATTCATCCCTAGTTAATAACCCTTATAAAATTGTAGCCATTTTTTAATCATGTGAATTTTAGACATTATGTTTAGAATTGCTTGAGAGGAAACTTTAATTATATCATTTCAACAGATAAACATCTTAGGTGAAAAGGATGATACACCAGTTCATTTCTGTGACAAATGTGGCCTGCCTATTAAAATCTATGGGCGAATGGTAAGTATTAATGAACTAAACCCTGGTTTTGTAAATGTAAACATTTGTGTAGAGGTAAGATTCTGAAATTTAAGTAGAGGTTTATCGTTTAATAAGTAAGTTTGAAACATGTTTATGATGTAGCTAAAGGAATTCTTGGAATAATCTGCATTTAATGTAATGGTTATTTTAGTGCTTTAGAATAGTTTCAGAATAGGATATGACAGAACATATTTACAGTGTTTCAGGAGCTTTTAATATCTAAGAACTGTTTAGAGTTTATAGGGTTTATAACTGTAGAAAGTATAAGTAGATATATGTGCATATATTTATTGGAAAAGGGGCCAGAACGTGTAACCATTCTCAGAATACTTTGTGAGCAAAAAAAGCTAACTATTGCCTTCATATAGTCCTTAATAACTGTCACTTTAAGATTTCTCATGTGCTTTCTTTCTGTGTATAGGTCATTATGTTTACTGTTTGTTATGCAAATATTTTAATTGTTCTAATGTGTTAACTGTCAATGTATCATTTATACTGTCTTTATTTACAGATTCCATGCAAACATGTTTTTTGCTATGACTGTGCTATTTTACATGAGAAAAAGGGAGATAAGATGTGTCCAGGGTAAGATAAGGTCATCTTTATATTTTTAAGTAGTAGAGTTTATAGTGAACTGATTTATAAACTGGGTTAAGGGTTGGGATTAGATGTAAACCAGGTAAGGGATCAAATGTGTAAACATAGATAAGCTTTCTATGTGAACCCGGAGTTTGCTTTAGCTTTCTTAAAACAGCGCTAGGCTCCTACTCTGTCAGTTCACATTGGCTAAAATGATAAATCTACTTGCCATCATAAACTTGAGCTGGTGTGGTGTGCATACTTGCAATTTCAGCACTCAGGAGGCTGAGACAGGAGTATTGCCATCAGTTTGAGGCCAGCCTGATCCCCGTATCAAGACCTTGATTCAAAAAAACAAGAACAGAAAGCAAGATAGGTAGATAAACTTGATATTGTAAGCCAAAGCCAATTATCATTGTAAAATTATTATTTTCAGTGATGTGCTATAGAGGTAGTACAGTATGTTATAATGATTGACAATAGAGACAATAGATTGGAATTCTTGAGTTTAAATCTTTGTCCTACGATTTATTAACTATGTGACATATGTTAGTTTAGTTTTGTTTGTTTAATTTGTAAAATGGGGCTAACAATTCTGCCTCGATCTCTGGGTTAATTTTAAAAGTGAATGAAGCTACATGATTGATAGGTAGATGGGTAGGAAGATAGATAGGATCTGATATATAAAATAAGCCCCTCGTATGTATAAGCTTCTATTGCATTCAACTGTTGTTAGTATGTCTTGGGATATTAGAGTGCCATAGACTCAAATTATGAAGAACTGGTCCTTGGAATGATCTCAAAGTATCTAAAGTAGTAGTTTTTGTATTTATCTAGAACCCCTCGTAAGGAAGGCTTTGGGAAGACTTAGGGAAGCTTCCTTGGAACAGCCATAGACTTCCTAGATTCCTTATAACCTGTGAAGCTGCCTCAAGATTTATAGTATTGGTTGCCGTGAACAGTTGTAAGGTATACCACTCCTGCCACATTATTTTTTTTTCAGTACTTAGGATAAAATGCAAAGTCCTGGGAGTGCAAGTACTCTGTCACTGAACTGCAGCCCCAGCCTGGTGACACCCTTTTATGGTGTAGGAAATTGCAACACAAGAAAACATAAGGATGGTTTTGTGACAATTCAATAACAACTGATGTTTTTAAAAGCGTATCTTACTAGCTTTTTGAAGGAACATTATAAAACCTGGTACTGTGGGTTTAAAGACTATTTATTGTGTAGAATTACAATTATGAAATTAGAAGTACTTTGTGTTTTGGATGTTTTTTCTAATGCCTAATTTTCAAATTCAGTGCCCCTTCACTTTAGTAAATTTGGTTGCTTCACTGGCAGAAAAGATTTCAGTTGTGATAAAGTACTTCATAATGGGTTTATAACCAATTTAAAAGATTTTCTTTTACCTAAGTGTTATAATGATAATATTGAAATGGAGACTTAGTTTTCAAGATACTGAATGGAACTTCAGTAAGCCGCTCACCTGTGTGGTCCTTAGCTGTTTCAGGTCAGAAACCTACCTTGATCAACAAACCCAGATCAGGAAGTGAAGAAATGGCAGCCAGAGTTATTGGAAACACTATATGCTGCTGATATTAGGCATCATCCAAAAGAAGTGCCTTGTAAACTACTAACTGGGAAATGTTTCCTAGTTTATATAGCAAAATTGATGCAAAAAATAAGATGTGTGGCAAATGGCCACCAAAGGGAAGTATATACTATGTCATCAAGGAGTGCCAGCCTCATCCCAAGGATGGAAAAGTCGGCATAGTTTAAAATCAGTAGTGCAGAACTGTTTCAGAGAGTGTCAAATGACCTTACACACATACTCAGTGGTAACAGCTTATATCTATACCTATGTAGTGCTTAACGGGTGATTAGTTACTTTCATTGTTTCATTTAATCTTAAGAATACTCTTTTGAGTAAGGTGAAATAACTATAAAAACATTGTGGGTTAGGTAGAGTACACATTTTTAACCCCATTCTATAAACGAGGAAACAAAGTGGTTAAATAACTTCCAACATACAGAGCCAGTATGATTAGATCCCATGTGTTTGGATTTCAAATTCAGTTCTCTTTCCACTGTCTTAGGAAGACTTTAGAGGCAAGAATGGATTAAATACAAATGAAGAGTAGTTATTATTTTGACCCCAAGTCATTAAGAAATGTTGAGTTAAATTTTGATAGCTGGGAAAATATACCAGTTTTTAGTAGTAAATTTGGCTGAAAACCCGGAAGCACTGTCCTAAGGTTGCTGAACTGACGTTTTTATGTTAAGAACTCCAGTGATTAGGAAGATCCTCCTCAGTGTAGTCCTCGCAAGCATCTTCCACTTACTGTTCAGTAATGCTGCAAGTTTGAATTCTGTGTTTGTAAGTGGCAGATTCTTTGCTTTATTGTTCCTGGATTTCTTTTCTTTACAATGGATACAAAGCACACAGTTGTTTGGGGAAATTATATGAATTCTAGGTTGAGGGAGGTATTCAGGTCTCTTTAGACATACTCTGATAATGCAATTGATTTTGAAGTTGACAGAAGTGCTGATGTTCAGTAGCTAAGACTAGAAAGTGAGCGTGATTACAGCTTCACATAAAATAACTGCCTTTTAATTGTGAACTTTTTGCTGGATGTTACAGAAAAATTTAAAGCCATACTTTCAAAATACATGCATTTACATTCTGTTTTTACTAAATCAAATTTTTTCCCCTTCTAATTTAGCTGCAGTGATCCTGTGCAGCGAATTGAACAGTGTACACGAGGTTCTCTCTTCATGTGTAGCATTGTTCAAGGGTGCAAGAGAACGTATTTGTCTCAGAGAGACTTACAGGCTCACATCAACCATCGCCACATGCGAGCTGGAAAACCTGTTACCCGCACTTCGCTTGAAAATGTTCATCCTCCTATTGCCCCGCCACCAGCTGAAATCCCTGAGCGCTTTATAATGCCGCCAGATAAGCACCACATGAGCCATATTCCACCAAAGCAGCACATCATGATGCCACCGCCTCCTTTGCAGCACGTGCCACATGAGCACTATAATCAGCCACATGAGGATATTCGTGCTCCTCCCACAGAATTGTCCATGGCTCCACCACCACCTCGCTCGGTCAGTCAGGAAACCTTTCGTATTTCAACAAGAAAACACAGCAATTTAATAACCGTCCCTATTCAGGATGACTCAAATTCAGGTGCTAGAGAACCACCACCTCCTGCCCCAGCACCTGCTCACCATCATCCTGAATATCAGGGTCAACCAGTGGTTTCGCACCCTCATCATATTATGCCTCCACAGCAACATTATGCACCACCCCCACCTCCTCCACCTCCAATCAGTCATCCAATGCCACATCCTCCCCAGGCTGCAGGTACTCCTCACTTGGTATACAGCCAAGCTCCACCTCCACCAATGACCTCTGCTCCACCACCAATAACCCCTCCCCCTGGACATATTATTGCCCAGATGCCACCTTATATGAATCACCCTCCTCCAGGACCTCCCCCACCTCAACATGGTGGTCCGCCTGTAACTGCTCCCCCTCCTCACCATTACAATCCTAACTCTTTACCCCAGTTTACTGAAGATCAAGGAACTCTCAGCCCTCCATTTACACAACCAGGGGGAATGAGTCCTGGTATATGGCCTGCACCAAGAGGGCCACCTCCTCCTCCACGAATGCAGGGTCCGCCTTCTCAAACCCCAATTCCTGGACCACATCATCCAGATCAGACAAGATATAGACCTTATTACCAATGATAATAGCGTTTTGAACTGAAGACATGAGGAGGAAAAAACTTAGAGTCAGTCTTTTCATTAAGCTTTGACTGTTTTGGGAAGGAAAAGTACCTCTTACCAAACATAGGGTCTTTTGTCTTTTGAAATGGTTTTCAATCTTGACTTTAGGATTGATTTCAAGTACTATACTGTAGTGCAGTTAAGTGGCTCGGTTGAGCACAGCTATATTTTAACAACTTTGTTCCCCTAGTGCGGTAAATTAACTCAGAAGTGACCATTTGTAAAAAAAAAAAATTGAAAAATTTTCATTGTTCCACTTTCGAAAGTACAGCTTTTGGTAAACCCAATGTTTAGTTTTTCTTGTGATACATTTTGTTAACCTGTGTAAAAGGATTAAATTTCAATATGGTTGTAAAAATGCTATTTTTATGTAAACTTAAGTGCAGCCACATACTGTTTTTTAAAATCATATGTTTTACCACTAATTTCCCAAAGTTATAATAAAATCCTTAAAGTAGAATTTGCTATAAGGCAGACTGTTAAATGATAAGAGTATTTCACATTTTAGGCACTGAAATTTTGAGATGTAGTAAGTATATAATACATTTCACTTGGATGCCTTCTTGAGTTTAGGCAGCCTTAGGGACACCAAAATACATTGGAATTCCAGTACTAAGATGCTGATGATATTAAAAGGCATTCTAATTATTTGGGAGAATACAGCCAAAGTAATACTCTACAGGCTCCAAGCTTGGGGGAGGGGAACGCTGTCACTTTTTTTTTCCTGAATGGTTGGAATCACACGATGCACCACACTTACTGATCTTAACTAACATTTTATAGAACTGTTCAATTGGTGTTATATAGATGACATTTTCTCTGCTCATTGTCTTAAGCTAAATATTTAGGGCTGATAGGCTTTATATAAATCCTCATTTCATGGTAGTTTAAATTCTGTGCTTATGTGGGTTCTTGTTTATTGGGTTTTAAACTAAAATTGAAATGCTTTGGAGGAATTTGAATAATGTATTAATGAGGAATGTTTTCTTGTAATCACAAAACTAGCATATGCTCAGGTTTCATTGCTTGTGTGATAAGGGTTTTTCCTCTAACTTGAAATTTGAAAACTATTATTTCTTGTTCCTTTTATTGGTCAAGTGATCTAAATTTGTAATGTTTTAGCATGGCATCAACAATGATGACTACCAGATAATTTTGTATTGGAGAAAAAGGTAATGACTAAATTGTGAATTTCAGTGCTTTATAGGTGCCTTTAGAGTCAGCTTTTGCATTACTGGGGCTTGTTACAGTCCAGCTAAGATGACCACTTATGGTTTATACGGATCTCATATGTATAAATCAACATTCTTAGGATATTATTATATATCCTCTGAAGAAACCCCTGTGAACTTTTCTTCCCTCCTAAAATGGTGCATATTATAAACATGACGTGTAGTATGCAGACATCATTTATTAGGTAGTTTGTAGTATATAAATTTAGAACATACTTCTTTTTCAACAAAGGATGAACTATTTGCTAATTTACCATTTTAATCTGTCTGGTACAGGCAAAACAAATTTTCATTTTGGATGATCAGATACAAAACTTTCTGAACTTAGAACAGTTAATATAAATGGCCTTTTCACTCTTGACTGGCCAAAAATAATACACTTTTTTCTTAAGTAATTTTTCACACTTAGCAGTTTGAGAGACTAGTTGGTTAATGCACTATTTCTAAGGAGAAATTCTTGTTATTAGGAGCATGAGAGTGAAATAGTGTGAAGTATTGGTGGTGAGTGCTTCTATCATATTACTGTAGGTACTTGGACTGGTGCAAACTTGATTCCTATTCATGCCCCTGTTTAGGATCTATTAAAATATTACTAATTAAAAATCCAAACCATTCTTTGTCATGTAATTAGAAAATAGCAGCCAAATTCACGTTAGAGCTTCTCAGCTATTTGTGAAGAGCTCTTCTGCTTTTATTGAAATTCATTACATCAAATGTGGTAAGAAACCACCTCGCCTGTGTTTTGGACAAAACAAAAAAGAAAAAAACTATCATGCTAAAATTCCATATGTTAAGAGAATTCCTATAGGCTTTTAAAAATGACTTAATTTAGGTTTAATAAACGTTATCCAGGGAGGCAGATCAAATGAATGTCTTGTAGGAGACAAAAATTTTTAATTGATGTTAGACTTGAACTCATCAGTTAATTGTTTGAATGAGGGTGGGTGGGTAGAAGGAAAACAAAATTACTGTTAGTGTTTCTTTTCTTAAGGAAAAAGATGTGAATCCCAGCCTTATTTCAGGGAACCCTTTGAAGCTATGATGGACGTAAGTCTAAATGTATGTATGTTTCATTATATTGCTCTTAAGACTACTGAGGTGGCAGTTTTAACTCTTAAAAACAATAAAATGGAAGCATAAATACTATTTTGCCTAGATGAATTTTTACCTAATGATGATACATTTGGGACAATGCAAGATTTTTCATGTTTATGGTAAAGCTTTCTACAGTAAAACTGGATTCTTTTTGGGCGGGGCTCTTTTTGAGACAGGGTCTCACTATACAGTTCAAGCTGGCCTTGAGCTCAGTTCATAGCCTGGGCTGCTCTTGAACTTGCAGCAATCCTGCTTCAGGCTCCTAGGTGTTGGGATTACAAACATGTGTCACCACGTCTGCTTTAGATTCACTTTTAAAAAAATTAAAACCAGCAAGTAGAAAATTGTGTTTCTTTAATGGCATTTTTGTGTTTTGGTACATATACATTTGTAATTGCTATCTTTTTCATGGATCATTTTATCCATATGTAGTAACCTTTGTCTCTTCTGACGAATTTTTACCTAAAATCTGTTTCATTGAATATGAGTTACCCCTACCTCTGCTTTCTTTTGGATTTCATTTGTTTAGATTATTGTTTTTCATTCTTTTACTTTCAGTCTGTGTATGTCTTTGCCAGTGAGGTGAGTTTCTTGCATACAGTAGACTGTTGGGCTTTGTTTGTAACCTAATCAGCCAAATCTGTCTTTTAATTGGAGAATTAAAACTTTTTACAATCATGCTTATTATTGAAAGGTATGTTTTAGTTCTTGTCATTTTTCCCCTGTCTCTGGCTGTTTCAGATAATCTACATCACTTCTCTCTTCCTTATCCGTATTCACGGTTTGATGGTTTACTGTATCATGTTTGATTCTTCCCTAATTCTTACTTATCCACTCTTCTGTGTGGAAGATTCTTACAAGTGTGTTCTGTAATGTGTTTCATGAACTCCTTTAGCTTATGCTTCATTTTTCCTTTGATTCTGAAGAATAATTTTACTGGCTCCTAGTAATCTAGGTTGGCAATTATTTTCTTTCAGAGGTTGAAATATATTTTTTACATGCCCTCCTGGCCTTCAGAGTTTCTGCTGAGAAATCTGCTAGTATTCCATTGGGTTTGCTTTTATAAGTTTGTGCTTGTTTGCAAAATTCTTTCTTTGGCATGTATTTTTGGAAGTTTAATTATAATATGTTGGGAGTTTTTTTTCTGGTCATGCCTATTCGGGATTCTAAATGTCTCCTATATTTGAATGTCCATTTCTTTCCTAAGATTTGGAAATTTTTAAGCATTGAACTGAATAAATTTTCTGTACCGTTAGCCTCCCTCGTTTATTCTGATTATATATATTCAGCTCCTTTGTTTATTCTGATTATATACATTTCATCTCTTTACTGGTGTCCTTTAGATTTTGTATTCTATTTATTCTGATTTTTTCCTTACTATCCAAATGTGATAATTCATCAACATCATCTTCAAGCTCTGAATATTCTTTTTTTCTGCTTGACCCAGTTTATTGGTGAGACTTTCAACCGAGTTTTTTTTTAACTTACTGAACTTTTCATTCTCATGATTTCTTTTTTGTATTTTTCAGAATCTTTCTATTGAATTGTTCTTTTGTATCCTTCATTGTCTTTTTAAATTTATTCTTCTGTTTATTTGTATTTTCTTTGAATTTATAAGTCATTTTTAAAAATTATTTGGCAAGCTAGTCATTCACTTTGATATGATTGGAATGAATCCCTGGAGTATTATGAAGTTTTAGAGATGTCATGTTATCTTGCTCTTTTCATATTTCTTGTATTTATATGTTGAGATTTATCTGTTAGGATAGATACTTCTTTCAGAAACATTTGTGTGAGGTCTTCTCAGTGAGCAGCATTCTCTGGATGTGCCCTGGAATTTGGTTGTTTTTTTAATTTTTGTTTTGTAATGTTGAAATTAATTTGAAGTAGATTTTGGAATTTAGTAGATTTTCTAAGTTAGTTTCCCTGTGAGTTTTTTTGACTGTGACAAATGTGTTTTGAAACAGGGCTTGAAGGGCCTGTGTTTTCTGTAGGTTTACAACAGTGAAGTTCCTTTGATAGTTCAGAGAGGTATAGAATAGACAGCGTAGTAAATGAGGTACACTTCTGTGGTTTCTCCTCCAGTCCTGTCAGCAGTGCGTGATTTGAAAGGTATGGGTCTGGCCTGGGCTGGGATCCCTCACATGTGTGGTGTACACAATGTACTGTCCACTATTGCTAGGGAAGTCGCTTCAGCTCACCCCAGCTGTGATGACATGGGACCATGTGTCAGCTGTAGGTGTTTCCTCCCCTGTTCTGTAAATTGAAGTGTCTGCCAGGGTTCTGGCAGCCCTAGGTTGTGACTAGAATGCATACAGTTTCAACTGGCTGGGGTTGGCTCAGTGGGAAAGCACCCAGCCAATGTGCCTGAGGTGCTCAGCTCCATCCCACTGAACAGAAAAATGAAAACCATGACATGAAAACAAATCAGGCATAGAAATAAAGAAACACCTGCAGCACCAATAGCAATGGAAAAGGGTTAGAATACACTTAAAAGCTAAAAATGATTAAATTTTGTAAAAACATGAATGAGGAAGGTCAAAAAGGGAAAAGAAAACATTTTTGAAAAGGAAAAATTGAGAACAAAAATCCAATTAAAGGATTAAAAAAAGAGCAAACATAAGAAAAAAGGCAATGAGAGGCAGCTCCCGAGGAGCTGTTTGGACTTGGAGACTCTCAGGAGCCCACCAGGTACGGAGGGGGAGTGGGCTGCAGCGGAAACCAGCTGGTGTTCCTCTCCGCTCCCCGTCATTTCTCACCTGGGAGATTAGTGGAATGTTGACCACAGCAGGGCTGTGAACTCTCAGATCTTTTTGGTGTGTGCACCTGGGAGCATGACATATGTCCAAACTGTGATGTGTCTCAAGAAAGAAACAGATCTGTACTGGAGGAGCAGCCGTGGTACCAAACGAATTGACAGCTCTGCTCGTTACCCTCAGATCCGGCCCCATGTGAAGCCACATGAGACTGGTCTCTTCCTTACAGTGATCAGGACCATGGAGCCCTCTACTCTGCTCCCAGCCACAGCTGTGCTTTGCACTGCTCAACCCTGTCTGTGCGATTGTGACAGACACTTCTCTAGCCACAACTTTCTCATGAGGCCAGCTCCCACCCAGTCCTGCAGCAGGGTGGCCTGGTGGCCTCTGGGATTGTGATCGTCTGTGTTTTCTGATACACAGGAAGGTTTAGCTCCTACAACAGGATCCTTCTCAAGATGCCTCCTGGGTTGTGGCACTAAGTGCTTCCTAACACATGTACAGTAATGAATCTTTAAAATGTGCTTATCTCTTTCAGACCAAATCCACAAGTGGCTAGAAAGCTGGTAAGAATCATGGAATTTTTCTTGCAGTTAGGACTGGGTTGGGGCTGGACTGCTGGTGTCATCAGGGTTGTCTGCGCTCTCCAGCAAACCTTATGCTTGTAATTTTGGGCTCCCTACCTGCCCCGATGAGGGATCCCGAGTTCCAGTTGCCAGTTGCCTTTCACCTCTCTCTGAATTGCCTTTGTGCTATTTAGAGCTTTCCATCCCTCCTGTATTGGTTCCGAGAGTTCCTTCTCTCATTCTCTCCTCCAGTAGTTTTCCCTTTATCGTCCTGACACTTGCCCCTCACCATCTCCTAGGAGCTTACGTGCTAACTTATTTAGGAATTGTCCTTACTGATCATCCCTAAATTCTCCTCAAAAAGTTTTCTAATATATTTTTTCAAAGGAAAAAGGTGGACCTTTAAAAATATGTTACCAGGGTGCAAAACAAAACAAAAAGTTACCAAAATATACAAACACATTCATATTGAGAAGTATTAAGTATTTAATTCTGAAGATAATGATATGTTTTCTAATAGCTTTTCTGGTTTTATTTAATATTTTCTGATAATATTTTCTGTATTAGTCACTTTGGAAGAAATTCACAGTACATATGTATATTTTCATGAGTTTAGTTGCGTCTTTTAATGGGTCAATTTTTACACAGGTTTTAACTTCTTTGGAGAAGTAATGCTTTCTAACAATTGGAAGCCTTGCCTCTGGAGTCAGATTTTCTACACAGATTTCTGCAACTATGTAACATAGACTAATTATTGATGCTTTTTGAGCCAGTTTTACTTTGCTTTCCTAAAAAGTAGAGGTAACCATAGCACTGCAGCATTATGAGGGCTATTTTGAGAATTAAATGAGTACAAGGTCAGTAGATGAGTGTCTACATGGTGAAATGCTGCTGAAGATGCCAAACAGTGAATGAATTATCACACTTCTCTATTCCTGTTCATGCAGTATTGAGTCAGGCTTGCATTTTAAACATTTTATGTATATATTTTCTGTGGTAGGTTACTATGTTAGGCAAAAATGTAACATTGTATTAGTCACTTTCTTGATACTGGCACAAAATATTTGACACTCATAACTTACAGGAAGAGAGGTTTATTTAGGCTCACAGTTTCAGTACAAGGTTGGCTGTCTGCAAGGCAAAAACAGCATAGCAAAAGAGCATGACTGAGGAAAGGTGCTCAACTGTGCAGCTAGGAAGCAGAGAGAGAAGGGAGGAGCTGGGGACAGGGTACACGTCCTAACAGTGCATTCAGCTATGAACTCACCCACTGATGAGTATAGCACCCCCACAATCCAGGCATCTGACAGATGCACCGGACTTAAGGACATTTGAGATCTAACCTAGGGTGCATACCAAAAGCTTATTTTGGGGCCAGGGATTTAGCTCAACAGCATAGCGCCTGCCTGGCAAGCACAGGTCCTGAGTTTGAATCCTAGTGCCACCTCCCCCCAAAAGCTTATTTTTTCCAAAGTTTTTTTTTTTGGTATCAGGGATTGAACTCATGTCTGTGCACTCACCAGGCAAGTGCTTGAGTCATTGAACTAAATCTCTGGCCCCCAAAAAGCTTAATTATTATTACTATTATTGGTACTAGGGATCAAACTCATGACTTCATGCTTGCCAGGGAGGCACTTATGCCACCTAGCTAAATTCCCAGCCCTAAAAGCTTAATTACTATAAAATTATTTTTAATTTAAACTATTCAATATGTAATAACCTCAAAATCTTCACTAATGTATTTGTCTTTTCTCAGGTTATGCTGTCTGTAAGTTTCACTCTTTTCCTTTGCTCTGTCATGGTCTTTAACTTCTTTCTAAATCAGAGATCAGAATTCTTAATTTTCAAAATTTGCTCTGAGGCCCATATTACTCAAAGCATAGCCACCTTAGAACCTTGGAGAAAAGAAACACTTAAGGCTGAGAATATAAGTTTATCTCTAAGATGTTAAGAAAGAACTGAAGTGCCTGTGTTTGTGTCTCCTCCCTGTGATATCCATGCGGCATCTTTGCCTGGGAAGGTGGAGACATAGCAAGACTCTTATATGAAGCTTCTACCCCACTCCTAAACCAAATAATCACTAAAGGCTCCTATTTTCAATTTCTATTCTATGCCCTCTATGAAGGAAAAGCTCTTACCCTCAAATTTATTGGGCATCATGCATAAATGTTTACTTGTGTATTTATTTTACCCCTTAAAAACCACAGGGATTTTAAGACAACAAACATCCACAATTCAAAAAGTTGAAACACTGTGTAAAGTGTGCTGATACTGTAGTTTTAATTAAGATCTGCTATGTAAATAACCTTTATTATACCATTCTGTATTTGGGCTTAGTCCAGTAGACAAATCTTGTCAGCAAAGATAATTCACAAAAGATGAAAGAGCATATTTTTTGTATCAGGAATCAAACTCAGGACCTCATACTTGTCAGGCAGCACGCTTGCTGTGCTGCTGAGCTATATCACTATGTCAGCCAATAAATAGAGTGAGTCTAAAACTGGCACAGATTTCTCAGTGACAAAGTCATTTGATGTTTAATAGAAAGTGCTGAATCTTCCTTCTGGTGGTGATGATGTTTAACTGTTACATGAATAAATTTAATCTGAACCAAGCATAATGATAGTGAAAAAGAGGATGAATCTCATTCTACAGCAAAGTGGAGCTCTAGAGCCTTTATTCTTATGAGTATAATCCCCCACCAACGACAAAAGAGTCCTTCCTTTCCCTGCCGTCTGTTTTCTTTCATCCTGTTGAGACCAGGATAAGTTACCCTCTTAATTTTCACCTCTCAGTTATTTTATAGCTCCTATTAGCTTCATATCGAAAGGAAGAAAATAGGGATTTGCTTCAAAAAGTAGTTGTGGTTATAGATATGGCATTAAAAGGACTGTGTCTAAGTCTGAATGGATGATGAGATGCTTGAAAAAGCTGGAGTGATTCATAGACGGAATGAAGAAGTCTTACTGCAGGAACTTTCAGATTCTCATGGAGCAATCTGCCAGTCAGACCACTGTAAAAGGGACCCACAGCACATTCTTCATAAAGTTAACAACCAATTTAATAAGAGAAGACACATCTGCTGTACAACTGAATTTTTAAAAATGGAGATATTTCAGCATGACCCGTATAAATTATGAGATTCAAAGCTGTGGAGTAAATATACTACAAAGCATGTACGTAGTGACTTGGAAAGGAATCTGTAAGTGCTACAAAAATACATATACACATAATTTTCTTCTTAAAATTAAAAATATTTACATAATTTCATACTAGATATGTGAAAAATATACCATGTTAGAACAATCTCGTTCCAAAGTTTGAAACATAATTCTGTCAAATAAAAATATTCTTCATACAATGTATGAATTTATCAATAACTTTCCGGGTATAAAGTTGTTCTTCATGTGACAGATGAGGATCCCTCTGAATTATATTTTGATTAGAATTTTGTTTCATATGGTACCTGGAAGAAGATGGAAATTTCTTGTTTAAAAAGATTTATTATTTCTCTTTCAATAATCATATCCTAGGAGACAGACTACCACAGTCTTCAACAAATCTTTTGTCTTGAATTTAAAAAAAAATGTATTTATTTTTTTTTGGTCTTTTTGAGACAGGGTCTCACTATGCAGCCGAGACTGGCGAACTCACTTTGTAGCCCAAACTAGTCTTGAACTCATAACAATCCTCCTGCCTCAGCCTCCCAAGGGCTGGGATAGCAGGCATGCACCGCCACACCCAGCCTTTGTTTTGAATTTTAATAAGACATTTTCCATTGCTACCTAGCACAGATCCAAAGGTTATCATGTTTATTGGGCATTTCAAAGACCTAATTTAACTTAATGTAAAAGCCAGTGTGTGATAGCAACGTGTTACCATGCCTGGCCTTTTCATTGTTTCTAAGCTACATTCCTTTTGCTGTTCTTCGACCTTTCTTTAAATAAGAAAATACCACTAACCACCTTCAGTACTTGAAGACAGTCAGTAGATTCTCAAGACCCTTGATGTATTCATCTTTGATGGAGAGCTAGAGGTGGTAGATGGTGGTGAACAGAACACGGGTCTTGTCATCAGATCTTAGTTCAAATTCTGTTACTATCACTTGACATGTGTTCTCAGGCAAATTAACTGAGCTTTCTGGGCCTCTGGCCCTACAACAGAAGCCCATTTTTTTTTTTTTTTTTTTTTTTTTTTAGAGACAGGGTCTCACTATATTGCCCAGGCTGGAGTGCAGTGGCTATTCACAGGCGCGATCCCACTACTGATCAGCACGGGAGTTTTGACCTGCTCCGTTTCCGACCTGGGCCGGTTCACCCCTCCTTAGGCAACCTGGTGGTCCCCCGCTCCCGGGAGGTCACCATATTGATGCCGAACTTAGTGCGGACACCCGATCGGCATAGCGCACTGCAGCCCAGAACTCCTGGACTCAAGCGATCCTCCCACCTCAGCCTCCCGAGTAGCTGGGACTACAGGCGCGCGCCACCACGCCCGGCTAGAAGCCCATTTTAATTTGAGATTCTGCTTTTCCCAAATGAGAGACATTATCTTAAAGACTGAATGTTCTAGAAATGAGTGTTCTAGAATGAAGTGGAACTGTCCAGTTAAATGATTAACTGTTGGTAGAGTCTAGTGAGGAGGGAAAGGAATCTAATGTTATGCCCAGCTGGCACTGTACTAGGGATTTCCTATGCACCTGGGCAGAGGGAGGTGTGTATTAGTCTCAGCTATATTAATTCACATGTAAATGGAAGTTTTTCTTTCACTGGTATGCTTGTTTTCCTCAATTCCTTAAGAGATTGGATAGCACCGTTTCAGTTTTCTAGGAATGAGGCACAGAGGCTCAAACAAGCACTGTGCTCTCTGTAACATGTTGGAAGAAGCCTCACTGCTTTCAAATTTGTTTTTAACTGTGATGTCTGGATGAAGATAAGCCTGCTGAGGAATCTTACCTGACATTCTCGATTACGTAACCCTCCATTTGTATTTATGGTAAAGTCAAATTTTGTTTCTTTTTGCTGAAAAAAGAGAATAAAAACATAAGGATTAGGAACTAATTTTCTAAAATGTTGAAATTCAAAGGAAAATTGAAGAAAAGCGAATGATTACAAATGTGAATGTCACGAAAGAGGTGGTACCTGGTTGGAATTGAACTTCGAAGTACTGTAATCTTTCTTCATCAAAACATGCAAAACAGCATCATGGATTGTTAAGAAAAACATTGAGTCTTTGACTTCATCATCAAAAAACTGACACCGAGTAAGCTTCTCTATGAAGTCATCTAAAGAGAAAAAAGGAGCCACAATACTTAGGAAGAAGTAACTGTTTGGTCACAGACGTCTTTGAAGATGCTAATTTGAAATCACACTTGCAAATACGCATTTCATTAATTTGTGGCAAAGTATCTGTGGGTTATGATGGAACAAACCTATGCATCACTGGTGCAGTATCTCCTGGAATGAAGAGACCTCTCTAATAAACATACATATGTAACTAATGTGAAAAGGAAAAGGTTCAAATGAGAAAATCTTAAGTATTTCTTAAAAACAAACTAGTTTTTATTTACACAGGAGCCGATCTCCCTACTTCATGACTGAACCGTAAAACATGACTTATGCTTAAAACTGGATTCTTCCCAGATTGAGCACATGCTTTGAGATCATTGCTATGCTGTAGGCTTTGACGACAGACCTGGCATTTTATCAGTTACTTCACTCTAGCCCATTTCCCCAAAGCCGCTGGATTGTATCGACCACATCTTCCTGTGGGCACTGGCCAGCGCTCGTTTGCACATATCCCTCGACCAAATGCGACCTCATGTGGGCTATATCCAAGTTCTAGCTGAGTAATAAAAAAGGCCAAAAGGCAAATTAAAGGTGAATCTCCTCCTGGTGGGCATCTGGGAAGGCTTGACTGAGTGAGTAGCATTTTATAGGACCCAGGATTTGGAGAAGGGTGAAGGAAGAGAACGAATAACAGCATGGAGGTGACTGGGGCTGCTTACAAGCAAGCTTTCAACAGGTAGGAAGAGAAAAGGGAGAGGAGGGAAGGTGGTGTTGTCACTTTGCCGGAGAGGCATGCCAGGTAGCAGAGGCGGCAGGAAATGGGCACTTTCAAAAAGGTCTGGGGGTGGCTGGGCGTGGTGGCGCGTGCTGGTAGTCTCAGCACTTGGGAAGCTGAGGCAGGAGGAGCACTGTGAGTTCAAGGTCAGTCTGGAATACACAGTGGGACCTTGCCTCAAAAAAAAAAAAAAAAAAAAAGACCCATCGGGATGGTGAGTGGGGAGGGAATAAAACTGGTAAATAATGAGTTAGTGAGATCAATGGAATATTTTAAATTGTGAGAAACCCTCGAAACTCTAGCACATCTTTAGATTTTAGGGATGGGAGCCAGTAGAGGAGAGATTAGAGATTCTGACTCCTGCTCATGGACAGACCCATGTACCAACGCCCAACTCTCTCTAAAATGCTCTTCCTTTAGACACTGTCCAAGTTGACACCCACACTTCATTCATCCCCACTCACACATCCCGCTACTGCACAACCCTGGTCCCCGCCTAAGTCACACTACCCCACTGCTCTGTCTTTTAACCTCTCTGTTCATCACTGCACTGTTTGAAATGCGATTTTATTTGCTTATTAACGGCAGACTTCTTGAGTGACTGTGAGCTTCCTGAGGGCAGGTTCCTCCTCATTTACTGTTGCAGCCGCACCCAGAACAGTGCCCTACAATAATGCTAAGAAGTCTTTACTTGTCTGTCATGTCTTAGGGCCTGAGCAAGAGACAGGGAGAGTGTAAACAAGACTAATCCCTGTCCTGGAAGAGATGACAGTCTAGCAGGCACATAGACTCAATTGCAGAATAATGCTTTTTTTTTTTTTTTTTTTTTTTGTACCAGTGATCAAACTCCAGGACCTCATGCTTGCCAGCAGGTGCTTATGCCACTGAGGTAATTCCCAGGCCCCTACTACAAAGTAATGCTATAGGCATGTATTTTGCAAATGCAAATAGTCTTGAAGACCCAGTGCTCTGCCTGGGGAAAGAGGGAGGTTTTCATGGTTCTTGTCAGAAAAAAATTCTTGAAAAAAAATGTTCTAGTTAGAAAAGTGGATGTAGGGGCTGGGATGTAGCTCAGTGGCATGAGTGCCTACCTGGCAAGTTCAAGGTCCTGAGTTTGATTCTTGGTACCAAAGAGAAAAATTGAAAAAAAAGAAAAAAGTAAAGAAAAGTGAGATGTGAGGTCATTCTAGGGACAGACAAGGACACTGTGCTCAGAATGGCCTTCCAAGGACCCAGGTGAGAAAGGACAAGGGTCGGAAACACTGAGGGGAAGAGACTCTAGAACGTAGAATTAAGGGGTGAAGCCAAGGGAATACTGCCTGCTAAGGGTGAGAAGGGGAGCCGGTGCCAGAAACAGAGTCAGAAGTCAGATGAATCAAAGAGATGGGCGTACGCAAGTCAGGGAGGGAGACAGGCTCAGAGACAAAGGCTGAAGCCAGGTTGGGTGGTGCACGCCTGTCATCTTAGGCTCGGGGAGCCTGGGACAGGAGAAGGGCAAGTTTGACCCCAACCCAGGTAATTGAGTAATTTATGAGACCTTATCTCAAAATTGTAAAAACTGATTTAATTTTTTAAAGGAGATGAGGATGTGGTTCAGTGCAAAGGCCCTGGGTTCAATCTCTAGTACTGCAAAAGAGAAAGAAAGAAAGAAAGAAAGAAAGAAAGAAAGAAAGAAAGAAAGAAAGAAAAATGTGCGAGAGCCAAATACTCAAGTAGGCTCAAATGGGCAGAGGCGGAGAGGTAGGTGATTAATCCTGACACACTGGGCGTCCCTGATAATGTCCAACGTGGTGGCCACGCTGGCAAGGTGAAGTGAAAGCCAAGAGCTGAGGAATGCAAGGGAGGACAGGGAGAGACTACTTTTTCAGTAAGTTCAGAATGAAAAACAGTTAACATATTTATTCATGCTGCTTATTAAATTAGAATTCAAACCATAAAACTCATTTACTTCTATATCAACACAACTAAAGCACAAAGATGCTGTTTCCAAAGGAATTGTTACTAACTCAACTACAAACTCAGCTTCTTTCCTGGTGATCCTATAAGATTCTTGTTTGCCAGACAGCCTGTTTACGTTAGGGACTGACTGTGCGCTCACGTGACAGACTGAACATAAAATAAAAATAAAAGTACTTACCATCAGTTCCAACAATATACACATCTACATTTATCCTTGCAAATTCTTGTAAGAGCTGTCAAAAAAAATACACCTATTTAGGAAACAGCTTCATTTGTCAGAATTGTAAAGAAAACTATCATAATTATACTTTATGAGTGATATATTACTTTTAGAACCTTTTACATTTTGAAAAGACGTAATAATAGAAGGAGATGCTAATGTTAAAAACAAGACCCCCTGACAGAAGGAAATAAGCCCAAAGGGCAGAGAGCCTGTCTCAGTAAGCAGCTGAAAAGCATCCTTCTTGAGACAACTATTATAAGAAAATGTTCTGCTTCAGGCTCACAAGATCAGTTCTGACTTAATTTTAACACAGTGTCTTCTATAGGAAGACGGGGCCTAGAGTTTTCTATCTACATAAAAGGAAAATAAAAACCAAAGCAAAGCCAAACACTCTGGCCCACGTGTCACCCATTATTCCAGTCCACAGTGACTGGCTGTATCTGGCTACTCTATCCAGGTCCCTGGTCTTTACATTTAAAACACCAGCAGTGACATGGGTAAGATTACACACGGGAAGAACTGTAGTGCTCCCTGCTGGTCAGGCTGCATAATTGTGTATACCGTATCATCACCATCATCTAAACTCTTTTAAAATCTCTGCAAGGGACTAAGTAAAAAACTTAAAAAATGCACTAGAGCTTTTTTTTTTTTAAAGAAAAGTATGTGTATTTTTTTCTCATAAAGAGGGGAGTAAGAAAGAAAAGGAAAAAAATCAAGAAATCTTGAGAGGTATATAATTTTTTTTAAAAAAGCAAAATTAGAAGAAAACTAAATTGAGTGTGTTTTCTAATTTTGTATACAGCTTATCCATGTTTAATAGATCTTATCTTAGGTCAGGTTCCTTAAGTAGATACAAAAACCTAAGAAAAACAAAGGGAAATGTAGAACTTCCTAAATTTTGTTTATATCAGGAAATCATTTATTTTAGAAAAAGAACAGACCACTATTTAACTGTTTAGTCCTGTTTGTAAGTGACATGGACATTAATTGTTTCATATGTGTTTTCTTAGATATATGTTTAAGTAGCCAAATTCATCAGGATGTAGGGAGTTTAAATACAGTTTTCACAATTGAAAGCACCAGAGTTGATGCTCAGATTGGCTAGGAATGTGAGCCTAGTTGCCCATTAGCAAGTTTGGCTTGTAAATTTGGTTGCCTTCAAAATAGTGTGTGGTCTTGCAGAAAATTCACTTTAAAAGAGTTTGTTGGACACTTTGTGCTGTCCACCCCTTTGATAGGATATTGTAAGATTAAAATATACAAAAAAGTTTACTTCTAATTACATGCATGTCACCTAATGGGTAAGTACAGTTTTTATTGTTAATTAATGATTGGTTATTTTCATTAAGAAAAACCGAGTTACCGTTTTGAGACCTCTCATTGAAGAAACATCAAGAAAAGACACTGCTGAAAAATCAAGAATGAGGCTGTGGAGGCTGATTTTGGGAACCACAATGTTGAAAGGAAGGTCAGCGTTCCAGTCTATCTGGAAGGGCAGATCTGTTGTGTTGATCGGCTGATCCAGTTCTTCTATCTGGTTGTTGTCCAACTCTTCATCAGAATCTTTGAAGCTGTCAGTGGTGCATATATACCCTTTCTGCAGGAGACAATAACAGGTGTGACCATTTCCACTGTGGACAACTGTGTGTCCAGGATAACCAAGGCGCTTGTGAGCACAGCTGGCCAAGCCCTGGAATTGTAGATACTTGTGTTTCATAGTTGTACCAAGCCAGTACAATAAAACTTTCAGGGAGACCTTCAAAGAGGTCCTTTTAAAAAAATAACATTTTAAACACCTTTATCTCATATTTCATTTATAGGAATGCAACTAACACCATATAGTTTACTAAGCTTTTAAGCTATAATGCGCAGAAAAGTGATGGGTATCCTCACCGGTGTCACTTGTAGCAGGCCTTTACTGTGCAGTTTTCGGAGTTTCTTCAAAGCTTTGTTCCGCTTGCGTAAAACTCGAAGTGGACTAAAGCCAATCTGAAAAACCCATTGCTGTGTTAGGAGAACAGCGAATATGCTGTGATTTGCTGAACACTGAATATGCTGAACACAGCATGATTCTGGTAACTAGCTGGGATGGGCTGAGGGTTAAGGACACTTCATAGAAATATTTGTGATGAAACTGAAAACTCGGTTTAAAAACATCAGCAATGTTATGTCAGACTTACGGTTTATGGACCAAATTAATTGTTAGGGCGTATGGCAGCCCTGTGCAAGGTACAAAGCAGGCCAGAGGGCGTGTTTCAAGAATACTGAACTTTTGTGTCTTAACTTTAAAGACTGTTTCCTTGTCATTTTTACCAGCACTCTCAGTACTTATCGTGAAAGTTAAATTCCTTTACAGCTACTATCCTGAATATCTTCAATAATGCAGTGAAATATTAAATGTTTCCTTATTGTTTTTGAAGCTGATGCCCAAAGCAAATCTATAGAATGTTAAAAATCAGCAGCTTAAGAATTTAGGATAAATCTCTTTTACTTGAGAGCAGCATTTGATAAAATGTCATCTATTTGGCCTCATCCAAAGGGGCTTATTTCCCAAACCATAGTGGATCCCTTACAAGGTAGTTTCACCTGCTCTGGAATGTGGGTCAAAACAGAACAAAACAAAACACTGACACAGCCCAGACAGGAAGCCAACCACCTTCTTGCTAAAGAACAAGCACAGATTCCCTGATGATTAGTAGAATTAGAAAAGAAAGTCGGATGGCCCCAAATCTTACAACATCAGTAAGTTTCTGTTTAAAGAAACCAATGTTTGCAAAGTAGATCGGAGATGGACATCTGAAAATTTTCACTCCTTCTGGCTCATACATCTGTAAGGCAGAGAAGTGGCATTAGTGGTGCCCATTAGATTCATATTCATATCACTCAGCAAGTAAAGACAAAAACGAATCCCCCTTACCTCAGAGTAATCTTTTACATTCTTGTAGATATTGCTTCTTCCAACATTGGCCAGTGTGCTGCATTTGGGACTGAGAAAAAAAACAAAAAAAGTCAAGTAAATCAGGCATATTTGTTAGGCCACTAAGGCTAACACTGACTTTTTCCCCCTAGCTAGTCAACACAAGCCCATTTCGCTAAGGTGTGGGACATCATCATGCCATTCAGACCCTGGAAGCAAGCACTGTATTATACTTAGCTTTGGGTGCTCACATAGTCCTAAACCACATCCAGGCTAGCTCCTTGCAGTTTACAAAGCACTTCTATGAGCTTTTGCCACTTGAATTGCAGTTATTCAGTGAGGTAAAGGAGTACCCAGTTGTGTGGGTGAGGACTGACAATAGGGAGAAGTCAGAGGACTTCCCCAGGTGACCGTTCAGTGTCTCCATGTTTAATAGGTCCCCAGTAAGGAATGTACTAAAAGTCTGACTGAATGAAAGCTGTAAGAGCAACACCAGTGTGTCTCAGCACAGTATAGCCCATCAGCCAAGGAATAACTTTAAGTGAACAACCTCTGTTCTAGAACATGTAAGCACCCAAGGAAACATTTCTCCTTGTGATCACACCATGCAATCCAGCCTCGAGTAGCCACATGGTGGTAATATCATTCAGCCAAGACTTAAAAATGAGGAAGACATTCCAGCATTGAACTGAATGACAGTTAAGAATTTCTACCTTTTGTGGAACTTTAGGACCTAGAGGGGCCTTTGAGAAGTTCTCTAATCCCCATTTATGCCTTTAAATGGGAGTGCAGTTCAGCCATCTCTGAGGAGGGAGAGTCCTTCCCTAGCCCTGGAGAATCTCACGGTCTTCCTGGTAGCACAGTCTTGTGTTTAACAAGTCTGGGGCCAAGGCCATAAAACCTGTTCAGAGCAGAATTACTTCTGGTGGATGGGTATGCAAATGGATTTCTAGGAATTCATGGAATTGGTATCCAAACAGGAAGTAGACCTCTTGGTAGGCTGGTCCATGGGTGAGATTCCCAAGCTGGACCTTGAGGTGGGCCCTTGCGGAAGAGCACACTGACCAGTGCTGACAGGTATGCATGCCTAGCAAGTAAATCACTTTGTACTCTTCTGATGGGGCAAGTCAGGCTGCAGGGCACCATGAGCACTCACAATTGGGTCCGGAATACGATGGTTAAGAGCTGAAATGCCACACTTGCTGCCAGGCCTAACCCAAGTCCCAGGACAATGGCAAAGATGAAGGTCATGACCCAGATTAACTGTGAAAGAAAGCAACACACGTGCGGTAATGTACCCTGAGTAAGGTACAATGTACATTAAGTCCAGAGCTCTGAGAAGGTGTGAACTTCTAAGTTGGGAAGTTGTTATCTTGGGCCAAGGATCAAAGTACCCAGGAGGACACCTGTCTCAAGAAGCCATTGCCCCAGGCTAGGTTCTTGACCACAGAAACATAATCCAAAGAGACTGACTTTACTCCTAGTCCTATCCCTGAATCAGTTAATGAAACTAGATTGAATCAATCTGTTGGGGCAAAAATTGCAGAACCAGTCTATTCATTAATATTAGATTATTAACTAGTAGAGGCTATTCTAATCTCACTTTGCTCTGTTGATTTAATTAATGCCTACTAACTCTGCAAGGCCTTTAACAATGCCAAAAAGGTGTTAAGCTCCCTGCTTCAATAGTTTATCAGGAACAAAAGTAAACCAAGCGTAGATTATAACTATACTCTCTAAGCACCATAGACCATGTTGTAAATCACATTTACATTATAGACTTTGGCTCTGATTAAATTATTAAATTCTCAAGAGTAAGGCATGTTGACAGCAATGAAGAGCCTTTTCAAAAAGAAAGAGTATTTCCAGAAAAATGTGCAGAATTCAAATTCTTCACAGGTTCTCTGGCAAATCACACAGTATGTAACAAAGAACAGAAGCAATGTGTAACCTAATGTCCAGAGTTTCTGTGGCATTTTTGGATGACTGTAAAAACTTTTACAAGAGATCTACGAAAGTTTGTGGAGTATTTTTGGCTTGGATCCTTTCAAATTAAAATGCCAAAAAATGATCATGAAGTGTGTAATTTAAAATGGCAAATAAAACAAATTAAGATTATTTTGAACACTGTAGAAATACAGTTTCATACAGTTTATAATACAAATATGTATTTTTTATACCAGTATTAAACTGCCGTTCGGGTGAATGTTTTTTCCCAGCATTATTGCATCTACTTACACAATCATATTTATCCTTTTTCCATAATCTGCCTATTTCAGCAAACTGCATCAGCATTCCCTTTAAGTTCCCAAGTGCTAAAGCTGCCAGCACAGACTGTGAAAAGACATAAACACAGAATGTACTTTAAGTTAGTCAAATAAACCATATAGAAGCAAAGGTGAAGGCTGCAGATAAGTGGGTCGTTTAGTAGGCCTCAAAGCATATCAAAGGATACACCCTTTTGCTGGTAGAAAGTGCTGGGTAAAGCTCACAAGGACTGGGACTCTGACCCGTTCCCCTGCATGCGCTGTCCCCGCCACAGTGACAACGGCTGAACTACTCTTTGTAATTGTGCCAAAGATGATCTGTTGTACTTAGCCTGTGCCTTGGGACACAGAAGGAAAGATCCTAATCCAGGCTTCCCATGCAAAGCTAGTCTAACATGTGCCTTTGTTACAGTTGAGGCGTAACTCATGAACTAAGAACCCACAACATGGCCTTTTCAGGAGCCCCAGGACTGGCCTCACCGAGTAGCACATTCATTGCCAGGGCCCTGGACTATAAACTCAGCCTTGTCACACATCCCTTCAGGCTCTGGTTTCACAGGCCAGAAGGCCATTGTTTCACGTTGTGATTCTTAAGGTGAAACTTGCTGAATAGCTAAATATGGCTCATGTTGTTTAGATTTCAACACAATGGTAGGAATGCTTGTGCTCTCTGCAAGTCCTTCCCTAAGGAGTGGAGCCTGGAATTCGTATGCTGGCTACTTCTACACCAAGAAACTTCACACAGCTTTTCTTTTCATGCGTTCTCTTAAAGACTGTTTAACTGCCAGTATTTTTAATTTCCACAAGTTACTTTTATATGTTAATACTTAACTGGTTAATTGATTCATCGTGAGACTAGAGTTCATCGTGTAGGCCTATAAAATATGGTCCTAAAATAACTTTAAAAAGGAAACTGTATACAAATGAATGCCAGTTAGAAAGTGAGAAAACTGAATAAAAGTTTATAGTACTGTGCCAATTAATGTCAGTGTACTGGTTTTGTTATGGGACGAGAGCTATGAAAGCTGTAACCACAGGGTAGCAGGTAAAGTTTTATAGGACTCTGTACAATAGGTCACCTCGTTCCGCGAGACTTTAGTGTAGCAACAAAATATGTCAGGTGCCACCTGTCTGAGACTTTTTTTTCCCCATCAAGCATTTTTTCTCAGCAGGCCAATATCCCATGGGACAATGCTAAACAATTTACAATGACATAGTATATGAGAAAGTACTCTTAAAAGTAAATTTTATGCTCCAAAATCTTGTACAATGAAAAACCATAGAAAAGAAACAATCTTTTTACCAGAAATGTGGCATCCATGTTGCAACTGGTGGAAAGCACTAAATAGGAACTAAATGCTTGCAACTCTGCTGAGGCTTAGAAAGCACATGCTAAATATTCCTCATTAGCAGTTTTTATGGGCTATTTTGTCTTCAGGTGATGAAAGGAAGCAAAATTGCTATTCAGGTGAAACAGGTGACACTCTTGACTCAGCGATCCAAAGAGAACTGTCCCAGGGGCTCTTTACGGGCTCCGGTTAATGTCCTGGACAAAGTCTCTGAGTGGGATTTATTCAGGAGAGAGAGAGGCATTTAAATGGCATTGGTTTCTTCAGTGCCTCCAAACTGATTTGGGCTGAATAGAGCCCATGTTTACACCTGCAGGAAACATGATTGGGCTGTCCTCGGTGTAGGAGTATCTGCGCATTTATTGTTACTGAGATACACATTTTTATAATTCGTTAGTGGGATTCCTTGGCTGCTTTCATGCCATCATTTTGGAGTCAGGAGTGTAATGACACAAAGTTTTGACAAACATACTCTGCATTGCTGAAAGACACATTTGCCCACGGAGGCTCTTTGAGATGACCACACCAAAAGTCTAGAAACCTGGAACTAATTCACACTTCAGCTACCAACCGACATGGAAAAAAGGCCTGGATAACAACCAGTGGACACTGGCAGTCCATATCATATCTCCATGTCACTTGTGGTCAGAAGTGTAGTTGATTGTTTATATAATAACCATAATAATACTAATGGTTAAGTTAATAATATTAGCAACCTGTGTTAAGTACTTCGTGTACCTTAGCTCATTTAGTCTTCCTGGCTACTCTGCCTGCTGGGTACTATTTCTCTTTCTCTTATACAACTGGAGAATTTGAAGTTCAGAGAAGTTGAATAAATTGGCTCAGAAGCAGGTAAATAATCAGCGGCAGAGCCAGGAGGAGAAACAGGTCTACAGGGCTCCCGACCCATGTGCTTTTTGCACCACCTTGGATTCAAATGAAACCACAGTGTATTTGTATTTACCATCATCTGCTTCCCTAGAGATCCTATGTTTTGTAAATCTGGCTGCTGCAGCAATTTACAAACATTAAGCTAAGCCCTTACAGAAACAGACGGCGAAAGGGGAAAGAGGCGAGGCCATGCTGGCTTGTCTGGCTGTCTGCTCCCATCCTGCAAGCTGACAGTGTTGGTTTTGGAGTCCAACCAAACCTCCAGGAGCTGCAGGGTGTGTTCAAGAGAGCAGGTTGTGTGGCTGGTAGCACCATTCTCTGCACTAGATAGAGGGCCTTTACTCATCCACCTGTGTTGGAGCTGTGGTGCCAGGGCACTTTCCTGCTTAAACATTAATTATCTTTTGAACTACGCACTTACAGAGCACAGTAGATAAACTAATTTGGGCATTGACATTCCTAGCATTCATAAAGTGCTGCCAGAGCCCAGGAAATGTTTTTGACCCCTAGAGTTTGGCTAAGGAGAGTACTTGAAAGTTTGTTGTTGCCTCGTTTCTCCTAGTTCAGATTGTGCTTTCAGAATTAAAGAGCTAAGGTCCTTAGATTTATCACCCCAGTGAGAGAGATGTTACCCAAAGCGAGAAGAAGGTTACCTTTTGTAGTGGCGCCAGCAGAAATCCGATGGCCACAATGACAATCAGCACGATGATAGCAGAGAGAAGCCCAGCGATCTGTGAAGACGAAAGAGTTCTCTTCACAATCTGCCCTTTCCCCTTGGCTCGGGTGCCCAGTTATTAACACTAGGATGGCAGCAAAACTTTGAAATACCTGGGTCTTGCCGCCTGTGCTCTCCTGAACCCCGGATCTGGAGAGGGCGGTGCTCCCTGCAAATCCTTTGAATGCTCCAGTGAATATGTTACTCACTCCAAAGGCAATTAACTCCTGATGGGAGAACAAGGCGGAAACGTTTTTTACAAGTGTTCTCTTTTAGAAGAATATTATGTGCACAAACTTGTTGGAAGTCGCCTAATGAGACACAGCGTAGGCTGCGCACCTACCTGATTGCCATTAAGAGGATAATCGTATTTGAGGGAATAGACGCTGGCAACAGAAAAGGCTACTGCAAAGCCCACTATGGCGATGCCAAAGCAGTCTCCGATGGTCTGTTGGAAGACGGTCACATCGGGTGTGATAGGTGGCTCAAATCTGAAATTGAAATTTAGCAAATCTCTGTGTCACCAACTTGCCAATAAATTTATGTCATCATTGGAGAAATCAATAAATAAATGCAATCTAGGCCGCACTGTATCTCAGTTTGGAATATGACTCACAAGAATTTAACCGAAAACTTTGAAATTTCCCATCTTATTGCTGCAGGATAGTGCTGCCTAGATTTGATAAAAGACTGTAAATCCAGTCCAGGGATAGCAGTAAGGCGGCCCTGATTTTGTCAGGATGCCCACATTATGATGTGCGCTAACTTCTCTGTAGACCCCATGCAAAGGGTCTTAGACCCCACTTGTGTTATTAGCATGGCTTACAAAGCATTACCCACAATGCCTCTAGTTCTTACAGATGGATAAATATGCTCTTTGAGCAAACACAATTCTGAGGTGATGAAAGAAAGAATGTGTCCATTGATAAAAACAGTAACTTTTCATGAAAAATCCCTAACAAAGAAGCGGGCCTTGGACTTTGCCTGAACGCCACAGGATTGCTAGAACCAACCATGGTCCAGTTGGAGGGAGAGTTTTAGTTAAAAGTGGCAGGGTAGCGGAGCCACATTCACCCATAGAGGACACTTTTGTGTTTATGCTTCATGAACTGAGAGCAGTTAAATATATTTGTTGTGTTATAAAAAGTGCATGTATCTCAAACTCAGCCTCAGCACCAAGTTCTTATAAACATCTGTTTTTACCCAAAAGCTCATGGGAAGTAGGTTAATTGAGTTCAATCAACTCTTTCTGGATTACTGTTCCTGCTTTGTGAATTACTTTGGTAACACACTTTCAGCTTCAGTATGAAGAACTACAATATTCTGTACTCTGCTGGCACCAGAAATTGAAACATTATCTTGGAACATCATACTGTTTTTTTAAAAAATAAAGCTCATATCAGTGATATAATCTCACACTTATACAGAAATAACGAGGACCCTACTGTTCTTTTGTTTTGGTCTCTGAAAGCCATAGAATGGTATGTGGAGATTCACAGTCCCAAACCTTTGTTTCCTGGTCATTCACCCTCCCTGAGTCACAGCGTCCTTATTTATTCTTTTTTTTCATAGTTTTGTGGCAGGATCAATACAATAATGAATGTGAATACTACTTGAACATTGTGAAACACAAAGTACCTGTTATCTATCATTATAAAATTCCTCTGAAATTTAAATATATCCGTGTGTGTATGTGTGTGTGTTTTACTCTCCTGGTGAGCATTTCCTTTTAGACAAAGTATTTTTACCTAGTGTGTATCACAACAAATTTCTAAGGTGATATATGCATTAATAGCAGACAAACAATGATTTGTAATCGTTACCTTCCAGTATGAGTCCATTTGCAATCAATAGAAATCTAAAATGCTCACTTAATCATCACTTAGGGAAAAAAAGTATGAAAAAGCACATCAAGTGCCTTGTACCTAATTTTGGTGCTAAATTAGTAAAGCTAGTAAATGAAGATTTAATACTAGCTGTAGGCCACACACTACCATGTCACAGTCATTGACACAAGAATCCTATATGAGAGCTACTAGTTTCTTTCCCATTTTTACAGCCAAGGATGTTGAGGCGCTGTTTAAGACTTTGCCCAAGGTCTGGAAGGAAGTCTGAAGTCAGTCTCAGGCACCCTGCCTCCAGAAAGGAGGTGCTCAAGATGAGGCCACACTGGCTCTGCGCAGAGCAAATGATCAGTAAATGTAAGCTAGTTTCTTCCCCCACCCCACGAAGCTTGTGCGGAGAGATCCACCGACATTCAAGCTGTATTTCCTAAATGAGATCTCTAGGACTATTACTCAGCGATTTGACGTGATTGTATTTTCAAAAACCTTCTACCGGATAAAACTTTGAGTTTGTCCTTGTTTACTTATTTTTCAATGTGGTCTACATCTCCTAAATCATTAAATGAAGTGTAATCACTTAAAGTCCACAGGGTGGAGGGAAACCCTGGAAACAATCTTTCAATTCAGCCTACTTTCCAACATGCAGCTTTTAAAATTAGGGATGTTTGCGACTCAGTAAGTCGAATACAAGCAAATTTGATGATAAAAACACATTTCGGTTTAAAAATACTCTATGGATTTGGCTATTTTTAAGACAAAGATCCTTACGGATGATGATTCCTGGAATACTCCAATACCCGCTAAGCCCTGGGAAGGAAAATGCTTATTTATTGATTGAGTGGTTTATACATAGAAAAAACTTTCCTCAGTAAGTTGAGAGAAACTGATGCTATCTTCAGTCGAGGGGAGAGGGAGGGGAAGAGGACACGAAGCTGGATGTCCCTGATGAACCCACTAAATGTAATGGGATATGTCTTCAAGTTCCTTATACAGACTGGGCTCCCCACCCTTTTTTTGCTGTGGCTTTGGCTTTGTTTTAGATTTGATCGTGAGAAAGGACAGAGTGTGCCTATCTGGACTGCTTGAGTGGTGTGCTGGTATTCCTTTAGGGTCTCCTTTGAACTTTCAGAACTTGGCTCCAGCAACCTCAATCAAAGCACTACATATTGTTTATAGTAAATCATGGACAAGGAAATGTGATTTCAATTTGTGCTTCTTTATAAGGACAGATGGCTTATTTTGTCTTGGGTTTCTACTTTCACTAATTTTTACTTTCATATGAGCCCTTGTTTGCCTGGTGTGTGATTTCTTTCTCAAAAAGAAACTCCCAACATTCACAGTGGTATATTCTGATATTCTTTATAGCTACTTCCTTGAAAGAGGGTAGCAAGTCTTTCTTTCTTAAGCCTGTGGGGTGCTAAGGATCTTCTAAGGAGAACTGTATAAAGCTATTACTCATTCTCTACTGAGTTCTTGAGTATTTAACTACTAGCACACAAGATGGACTTACCCTTGTTTCATAGTTCCAACCACAGAGACATTAAACCTCTGTTCGAAGTTAAAGCCGTAGGATACACCTGTTGCGATCACAGTCTGTAATGATGTAAATTATCCAGGTTAGAAATGTGAGACTCAATTAAAAGTCTTATTTTTAAAAAGATGCCATTCTCAAAACCCACTGCTGGCTAAGTTTCATAAGCATTTCTAGCCAAAGCTTTGTTATTTTTTAAGAGGTTTTCAAGTAATTCTCACAGTTATATTGTTTGGTCTTAAAAAATCCTGCTCTTTATCTCCCTTATTTTTTAATAACAGTTTTATTAAACTAAAATTTGCATATTCTACACACTCACATGATCAGATTTCAGCACATTGACAGGGTAGTAAAACCACGACCACAATCAAATCTAGATCATTTTTGTTAACCCAAAACAAGACAGAATGAACCCCAAATCGCAGTATAAGAGTAAGCTATTAAATTCTGAGTGAAGAGGAAATGAACACACTGAACACTGCACTCCTAAAAGGCAGAGTTGGGATTTGCCTTGTTAAACCTCCTGATATACAAGCTGTTGAAGGGTCTTCAAAGCACTAGACTTTGGAAAACTTTTCAAAATGATCAATTACCACAATGAGTTCAATGGGGATGGGCACTGGAAGTTTTGCTTTGAAGCGTTGATTTATTTCTTTAACCACAAATACAATAACTAGGATAACAAGAGATGTCACCAGGTCTGCGATGTTAGTCTTTTCTATTTGGCTGAATACAGATATTAGTACCTACAATTACAAAAACACAAAAATCCTGCATTAATGCATCATTTGGATACAACATTTATCATTTATCTCTAAGTAGATAAAATAAACATTGAAGCAAAAGGTAAGACATGCGTAAGTGGAAATTCTCTACTCTGCTCCTGTTAATCATGAGTCAGGGAGCTGTGGAGACCAGCGTGGAGAGATGAGATGTGTTGCTTGCAGATTATGGGTTTAGGGATGCTTCTGTCTTTTTTCTGAGATGTTTTATGGCTAGTGTCAAATGGTGTTGTATACTTTTCACATTTTTGCATTAAATCTCATCTGCCCCTAGGTATTGTTGGTCACTGATTTTTATTTCACAACCATCACTACTGTTTTGTCCAAAGAACAAATTAATCCTTGATGATTTTCTTTTTACAAAGCATATATCTCCTTAAATCTTGCTTTTTCAGGTTTAGACTCCCCGTACTTTTTAGTTGATTTTCTATTCGCTTTTACAAAATAGATTCCTGAATAACTGCATTGTGCATGAAAAGTCTTGCTTTTCAAAGCCACCTGGATTCCATATCCATCGATCTGGGATAGCTCAAACAGGCCCTATCTGAATCCCAATTGCTCCTAGAACAACACCCCGCTTCTGGATTGAAGTGAAAGAGCATCAGTTCCAATTTGGAGCGAGTGTTGTCTTAGACGCCCGAAGACTGTCTGGATAGAAGCACCAAAGACACTGTCTACTGTTTAAAAACAAGGATGAGAGCCCATTGTTTTTACTGAGCTCCTGCTGTAGGACCCAATAGACCAGATCAAACCAAAACAGAGTCACTCATGCTGAAGCCATATACACAAGCTGAAACTTTAAGGAAGCAGACAGATTCTGAATTTTTTCCCCCTAAAATCTAGATTCTAGTCTAGCTGAGTTCACTTAATCAGGTAATTTCTTGTTCTTTAACCTAGGAGTGAGGAGTAGCCAGAAGTAATCTGCTATCAGCTAATCATTGTTTTCTGTTGTTTTGTTGTTCCTGCCTTCCCAGCTCCACCGTTCTGCTATTTCCCAGTGGACTTTGAGACCAAAAAATTCATTTATGATGGTTACAGAGAGTAATGCCAGTGCTCAAAGTTTTGGTCAATCTCTAAAACTGAAAAGGCTAACCAAAAGATGGGAATTAATCTGGCCTAAAGTTACCTCTAAAGCTGAGAATTAATTTCACCTAACAGCTTTTCCTTATGTAGCAATCTAACTTTCATAACCTACTCTTATAACAAGTAGCTGAGTTCTAGTCAACTGTTCAGTACGTATTCCGATAAAACAGACCGAAGCTGTGACCAGGGAACATGGGAATCTCTGTACCTCACTTCCGTTTTCTATACATCACTTCCTTTCTGTTTGCTATCAGTGTAACCAAGCCATGAGGTGAGGTGGAATATTCTGAACCATTTTTGGTCTAGACTTCTGCTTGATTTTATAATTGCAAATAACGCCAACTAGGGTCTGCAAAACTAGGGTTACTGTATGTTTGCCTTTCACATTTCTACTTTCCACCATCTAGAGGAGTGGAAATCTATCAGCTGGTGGATAGGATGGTTTGCTTTATAAACAGGGCCTCACAAAGGACTCAAAATCTTCAATTTGTCAAGGCCTTCTTTCAAAGAAATAGGGAAACATCATAATTAAATAGATAAATATCTTTCATGGTAAGATTTTGAGAAAAAATTTAAAATGTCAGGACAAAATAATAAAAACCTTTTAATAATGTACTTAAACTTTTTTTCTTTTTCAAACTAGTGAAAAGTTAAGTGTGAGAGAAGTCATTTTTGATTCCTGTTGTTGACATTAGCTGCATGATTGATTTTCAGCATTGATGTCTTTTATATCAACTTTTTTTAATGTGGGTCAGTTTTACAACTCATGGGTCTCTTGGAAATTGTAGGGAGGTGCCACATTGAAGGGAAGGCTCTCTAAGGAACACAAGGTGAATTTCATGAGCTTCTATCTTTTCTCCAGCAGAAGAAGTACTTACTTTGAAAATTGAAAATGGGTCCGTGTGTGCCGGGACTGACAGCTGCAGCATGAATTTGAGCTGGGAAACTAAAACATGAATAGCGGCCGCAGTGGTGAAGCCGCTGATCAGGGACTCAGATAGGTATATCACCACGAACCCGATCTGCAGAGCCCCCAGGGCCAGCTGGAGAGAGGACAGAAGCCTTTGTTAGTGCAGATTAGTGGGATACTTTGGCGAACCAAAGGATCAGTGGTTAAAATGACTCAAAAATATAAAAAGTTCAGCCTTCAGGTACAGTCCTTGAAGAAACCGACATCTCTACCTCAGAGAACATCTCCCATTCAGGGTTTCTGCCTCTCCTTCTCCTCCACCCCGCCCGCCCAGGTTGAATGTTACATGATGTTCAAGTCAGACACAACTCCACTAGTCCCCAAGAAGTATCAGATTTGTAACTCCCCTACCCCCATTTTTTGGTTGGCATTTTTAGAATACTCACTGTAACCTTTGCAGCAGACTCTTATCTAGCATCAGCCCTCATAAACTTGCTGATGTAATTTTAAAGTATACTTTCTAGCTGCTGCGGCATGCATGGCTGAATGCCCATTCATGTTTCCCCAGACAAGTTGCTCAACTTGCTTGAGAAGCTCATAACTGCACAGTGGACATTAGGCATGCTGGGCTCCAGCTGGGGAGTAAGCGAGGTTAATCCTCCCCAGTGTTTTGCCATCAGATGAATTGAATGGGTTCTCCTCTTCTTGCATACTTGACCTGTCTTTCTATTCATGTCTCCAGACTACTGACAGAGTAGTCTGGGAGCATAAACAACTGACCACATGATCCATTCGTAGGACATCCATTTATGTCCTTGTAGCAACTGACTTTTTCTTTAAGAAATGATCTTAACCAATAAAATCAATAACCCTCATAAACTTAGGCAACATCTTGAAAAGTCCATGACATTTTCCACTATTCAAAGTGATGTCAGTATTGTGGTTTGGGAATGAGGTTTTCGGTCCTGCTGTAGGAGCTTTAGTTTTTCCCAAATCTCTGATATGGACGGGTCAAAGGGCAAAGCTCTAGTGCGTCCAACTGGACTACAGCCACTGAAGAGTTGGAAAGACAAGGTGTCTAAAATCACAGGGCTACTATTACTTGCATATTCTTGTGGCATGGCTGTACCAGTTCTGAGGTATTTTATTGAATTACGCATTTTATTCCTTACTCCTAGTGCCTCCAGGCCTCCACCATTGCTTTTACAGGGGGTGATCAAAAAATAATGTGAATGCTTATAAAGTAATGAATGAGTGAATGATTATGGAAAAATACACATTACCACGAATCCTCTTAAAACACTTCCTCTCATTTCAAACACACTTATCCCATCCTCTTTCATGTCTTTATGATATAAAAATATGATATGGCTGCTTCCCAGAGCCATCCAATGGAAAAGTAGGCTCGAAAGCAGTTATGGTGTCTCCCCATCTGCCTGCTTTACTGGAGCTGGCCCTAGGCAACTTCGAGCTTGTGAGGAGGAGTATTATGAAGAGGACCCTTAGCAATGTGATACTTTGCTATAATAAATTTCCTTATTTAAACACACCATTCAAAAAATTTTATCACAACGTGCATCTAGCTGCATATTCCATTTTTGTGACTTGGATCTGTCCCCTCCTTCTGGTTGTGGGGAACAATCCTTAAATTATTTTCTGTGAGCCACTGAGGGAGGGATACAAACCAAAGGGAAGATGTGGAAGTAGAGGAGGAGGAAGGGAAAAAAAAAAAGATTTGTACCAGTCAGAACAAGCGGATTGCAGCAGGAAGATTGCGTGAAAAAGTGCTTACCTGGATAATTCCAGAAAGGACTGTGACTGACGCTGCCACCACCAACTTCTTCTCCTCCAGCGAGGGTTCGTCACTGTCTAGGACACTTGTTGAATTTGTAGAGGCTATTACTCTTGTAACTACTGCTCCCACCATCGTACTCAGCACAGGGAATGGACCTAATTAACCAAGGGGCAACAATAGTTAGTATGGAAAAGGACTTCCATGTACTGGGGGTATAGTTGGCAGACGAGGCCCTCAGTTGGATCGCTAGTACCAACATACAAAAACACTGTCATGTGTGGCCGGTGTTAACTCCTGTAGAAAATTATGACTATTCTGGATTATGGGTAATTTGGAACTGATAATGTGTGGCTAATAGAATGCATGAAAAAGCAATATAAACACTGATCAGCCCAGTAACTGACTTACCCACAGATATGTGTCTAGAAGTGCCCAAGAAAAAGTAGGATATAACTGGGAAAAACGCAGCGAACAATCCATATCTTGGGGGGATGGTGACCAGCAGAGCAAATGCTAAACCTGTAAACACACAAGCAAAAGGATCCTTATTTTGTGCAAAGGAATCACAGACGTTCTCATTAGGGGCTTCGGGTGTTTGAGACTAACTCTTTACATAAGTTATTAGCTCAAAATGTATTAAAGGTATAAATATCAGAATTATAAGCTCAAATACAGAAGAAAACGTAAGTGTAAATTTTTGTGATCCTGCATCAAGCAACAGTTTCTTAGAAATGACACCTAGAGTTAAACAAAGGGGGAGAAATAGACAAATTGACTCTACTAAAAATAAAAAGCATACATAAGGACAACTCACTAGGGACCCCTTCTGTCTCACTCTTGAAGATCCCTTCCTCTCAATAAACATATTCTGCTCTTAACCTCCATTGTTCCTAAAATTCATTCTTTGAAGGGAAAAAAAAAATACATCACACAAGCTACCAGGAAAATGAAATAACAACTCACAGAATGAACTAGATTATTTGTATATGTACATTAAATAAGAGTCTAGTACCTAGAATACATCAATAATCCTTGCAACTCTGCAATAAAAAGACAGCCCAATTTTTAAGAGGGCAAAAGGGTTTGAATAGCAATTTTCCCAAAGACACAGAAATAACCAATAAGCACAGAAAAAAAAAAAAGATGCACAGCATCACTAGCCATTACACAAATACAAAGTAAAAACCACAGTGAGATTATGAGGTACCACTTCATACCCAAAGGAGTAGCTAAAATTAAAAAAAAAAAAAGGCAACAGGAAACATTAAAAATGTGAAGAAATTTAAATCCTCACACACTGCCTGTGGAAATGTAAAATGGTACAGCTACTTTAGAAAACAATTTGGCAGTTCCACAAGTGATTAACACAGAGCTACCAAATGACAATTACATTCCTGGAGATGTACTCAGGTCATTGCAACATCTGTTTACACAAAAAGCTATACACAAATGTCCACAGTGACATTACTCATAATTCCCTAACAAACGTTCACAACATCATTATTTATAATTGTATTAAAGGATGAGCAACTTAAATGTCCATCAGCTGATGAATGGATGAGTTTCAAAATACAGTATAACTACACACAAAATATTATTTGCTGCAACATAGACGAGCCCAGAAAGCATTATGCTAAGTGAAAAAAGGTAAATACCAAGCACCGTCCATTGCACAATTCCTCTCTGCACCTGTAATTACAGCACTTGGAAGGCTGAGGCTGGAGGATAGCAAGTTTGAAGAGACCAGTGTGGACCACATTCCAAAGTTAAGACAGTCAGAGACTACACACAAAGAGAGAACTTGTGTAATGAAACGTGGGAGCAATCCATGGAGAAAGTCATTTTCAGGAAAATGAGGAAAGCGGGAAGTTGGAGGCGTTTAAGGGTCAGGATTTGGGGAGGGGTTGTGGTGGTAGAGATGGTGGTGTCAGATGGACAGCTTAATGTGGCTTTAAATTTGATCCCCGGCACCATAGAAAACAAAACTAAACACAAAGGTGAATTTTACAGTATGAGTTGTATCAATTAAAAAACCCCCACAAAAACAAGTTACCTTGCAGTACAGCCACCAACCCTGTGCTGATACCAGAGACGATGTCGCTGAGAAGCCATTCCTTCAGCCGGTACCCTGGCAGCCAAGATGCTACGGGGAAGAAAGACAGGACGATTCTCTTGGCCTTTTTTGTGGAGCATCTGAAAACATCAGAAGCCACAGGTCAGGCAACTAACAGTAAATTGTAAGTTTAGCACCTAATTGTAGGTGGAAAAAATTGATTAAAATGATAATACATCCAAAATGAAACTAGCAGTTTTACTCCCAAGCACGTTAACCTCCTCGCCCACATCAATCGTTTCTTGGTTATCACTGAAAGATACTTTTTTTCAGAAAGGAAAACACGAGCCTTTCTGTAGCTGGAATAGAATTCATTTGTCATCCTCAGCTTGAGATGGGCAGAAGTTCAGTTGAGAATTTGCCTCTGTACCCATCCGTGAGATGTCTGGTTTGGCAACAGTATGTTGATCGCTGATCTGTGTTCATTTTTAGATACTACCTTTCCAACTCTGGCAAGGAGGAGGGGATTTGGAAACCAAAGACAAAGAGACTCTTCGAGCTATGGACTAGAGCCAGAAAGGGGAACTGAAAGGAAGAAGCCTGAAGAAAAGGTGCTGTGCTTATTCCCCATGCCGGGACCTTCAAAAAGATCTTACCCACACCACTTTTTGAGATGTTCCAGAAGTGTCTTATGACGTCTTTCTATCTTCTTGTGGTCTTCCCCAAAAGCATTTGCAGAATACACTGGCCTGGCCACAACATACTGATTACCGATGGGTTCGATCATTTTGTTTTTGCTGGTGCTGGTGGCAAGTGAAAGACCTTTGAAACGACGTGGTGAATACTTCTTGCCTTTTGCAGGTTGAAATGCCTGAAACCAAACAGAGCTTGCTTCTTAAATAACTCAGAGATAATGTGATGCAATTTACAGATGAGTGAACTCCGAACTGAATGTTACCACCTTTTGAGATCAAAAGAGGCAGGATTAAGGACCTGGGTTGTGTTTTGTGACAGTGATATCACTTTTTTCTCCAGCGAGCTGGACATAGCTCCTATGGTAAGTAAATAAGAACTTTATTATTAAAGATTGCAAAAAAAAATGGACTGAGTTTACTAATCCATCAGTCTATTTTCTAAATGTAAAATGAGATCATGGTATTGACTCTTTTCCTAGGAATGTTTCAAAGTTATAGTTTTGAGTACTGGGACAGGTTAAATTGCTCCTAACTCCAACCAAGCCTGTTTTAATTTACCCATCATAACTTTTATAATCCCTTATAAAGTGTTTTTAATTTGTGCTATTCAAAGGTGTTGTTCAGTTATTTATTATTTATTTTTAATCTGGGAGTTAGAGTTTTACAATTTATAGTTGAGGATACCACGGCACAAACTAAGTATGATGTGGTTACTTACGTCACAAGTGACAAGGTCTTTTTTAAGGAAAGCCTTTGGGCAAGTTATTTAATATTCCTTAATCTCATATAATTGGAGTAAAGATATCGAAGGTTCAAGGTGACCATAACATTTTTGGTTTTTTCTTTTTGGTGGTACCAGGATCAAATTTATGACCTCATGCTTGCCAGGCAGGCACTTAAGCCAGTTAGCTAAGTCCCCAGCCCACAATGGCCATAAAATTAAATAAGGATGTTTTCGAAGTATCTGCCCTTGTGTCTCTCATATTGTAAGTATTCATCAAATGATAGCTATTATGGCAACAATTAGCATGCTGTGTGTGTCTAGATGGTTATCCTTATCTCAATCCTGTTTCTATTATACCGAGGAGATCAATTTTGCATTGGGCGTGGGGGCATACACCTGTAATCCCAGAACTCTAGGAGGCTGAGACAGGAGAATCAAAACTTTGAACATAGCCTTTGTAACTTGGCTATTTAATGAGATCCTGTCTTAAAATTTAAAAAATAAATAAATGGTATGGAAATGTAGCTCTTTGTAAAGGTTCAATCCCCAGAACTGAAAGAAAATCAATTTTGTAAAAAATCCTTTTATGCACATGATTAGTTTGGCCCTCACAATTATTTGAGACATTTACAGTTATTATTATCCTCTTCTTACAAATGAGAACCAATTGCACACTCCCCTACTACTTGCTAGAATCCAAGTTCTTTTTCTTGGGTCATACAGCTAGCAGGGTCAGAAAGCAACTTCTGTTTCCAGACTTTGCTATTTGGCAGTTTTGCTATGGTTCAACATGAGTGTAACTGAACAATATTCTGCTCGCATCCTGTATTACACCCCACCATGCCCAGAGTCTTGTCATCTGACTTAAATCTCAGTGATTAATTGAATCATCTCCTAGAGGCTGTATCTTGTGTCCCGGTGCACTCTTGTACTAAAAGGAGAAAGCAGTGCGCTTGCAGAGTTCACGTTATAATCAGGAACCGGACTCAGCTCCTGGCCTTGCCATCCATTTCTCTCCTTTCCCACCTCCCTGGTGGCTTCTAGTAGCTTCCACTGGCTTTCTCCAAACACAGTGAGGTATTTCCTACTCATCCTCTAGGTCCTCAGAATTTGAAAGCCTTTAAATTTTGTTATGTCTTTCAGACCCTCTTTTGTTATTCTTTCTGAATCTTCCCATTGGCTAAAGAGCTCGTCCTCTCCATCTCTCGTTTCTATCCCCTCTTCCCATCTTTACTCCTTTCCAGTCCTGGGTGCTGCCTCTGACTGACTGTATGGGATTTCCCATCATCGGAAGAACTTGCTCGGGAAGTATGCTGCTTGCTCAGGGCTGTACGTGGTGTGAATTTTTGTCTGGTGTCGTGGTTTGTTTATTTTTGTTATTTTACCAGTTACAATCCACGGTCAAGGTCTCGTGACATGTTGTTTGTCTCACAAGGGCTGTTTAGTGTGTCTTTCCAGAGCAGTTTTCATGTTGTGTAAGTGTCAGCCTAGCCAGGCTTAGAGTGCAGAAGGTTAGCGTGCTCTGCATGTTCAGGTCCATCAGACGTGCTATGGATGAAAAAGAAAGAAAGAAAGAAAGAAAGAAAGAAAGAAAGAAAGAAAGAAAGAAAGAAAGAAAGAAAGAAAGAAAGAAAGGAAGGAAGAGAGAGAGAGAAAGAAAAGGAAGAGAAATGAAAGGAAACAACAAGGAAGATAGGAAAGAAGGAAGGAAGGAAGGAGGGAGGGACCAAGTGTACATTTGGATGCTTCACTCGCCTTTCCGCACGTTCACAGAAGTCCTCTTCCCTAGAACAGATCCCGAAGCTGGTTTCTTCCCCCCGTCATTTGTATGCTCTCTTTCTCTCTGCTAATCCATGGTCTTTTTATCCTTACTTTTATTTTTGCCAGTGCCAGTGACAGAAATACCTTCATTTCTCCCCTTCCTTAGGGATGACTGAGGCTCCTTAATGGGCACTCCTGTCCCTCTAGGTGGACAGAGACCTGAACTCTGGCCAGCCCTGCAGACGAGGGCCACATTCAGTGGCAGTTTAAGAAATCCTTCCAGTAGCACAGAGACCGTGGGAGCCACATTCTAGGCTCCCCCCACCTGCACCATACTCCCCTTCCTGCCCTCCCAAGCTGTCACCTCATGATCTGAAGTGACATGACCTGAGCCCTGAGCCCAGCACCCTGAGGAGGGCTCCACGTGGCCACGGAGGATACTGCTCTTCATTCCTGGGCGTCTTCAGGATGACCTACTCCAGTCAAGAATTCAGAGGGGATTTGATTGACTTATTTTGTTCACTTGAACAAGTTACCTTTTTCCAAGAAATTCTTGGGAAAACATGTTTTTGGTTCGTGTAATCATAGTTCTGGTTTCAAACACTGCACCCATATTAACATATGCCCTGTCATGGTCTGTTTTATCTTTGTGGCTCATTTTCCCTCTAGATTCCTTAGGGTGTCAGTGGTTTTTGAGGAACTGAAATTTATATCTAGGGACCCTTCCCTCCAGTAATTTTGAGGCTAAGTTATAAATATTTTCATTCTTATTTATTTCCTATTAGGTGCTCTTTTTAAATTTGCTGTTCTTAATAATTTCTTTAGGATATATACATACACAAATAATATACATGGACACATATTTATTCATATGTGTCTATATACCTTAGTGCTTTGTCTTATTTTTCATTCTCTACTTTTTCTTTTTTTCTTTCTTCTGTCTCTTTTTTTGGGGGGGGCATAGGGTCTTGCTATATAGTTCAGGCTGGCCTCAAACTCATGGTGATCCTCCTGCCTCAGTCTCTCAAGTGCTAGGATTACAGATGTGTGCCACCATGCCTGGTCTGCTCTTTCATTTTTTAAGCAGAAATCTAATCCTAGTGTTTATTTCTGAAGTTCAGTTTCTCAGTTCAGTGATACTGGCTTATTAATAAATCTGATCTTTCTAGGGATGGTTGTATACCCACTTCTCCATCCCAGCAGGTTCCACCCATGTCATATGCAGAGTGTCACAGCCTGGCCTCCAGTTAACTGGGAACCTCCACTCCGCCTGCTTCATTCTGCTGTGAGGCAGCTTATGGTCCTGGCCTTTCTACTGCTCCGCACTTACCTAGTGTTCTAGTCTTTCCAAGGTCAGTCCTTTCTGCTGGGAAGCTACTAAGTTGAACCAAGATGCTCAGAGGCAGTGCTAGAATTTGTTTTGAATTACTGGTGATTTGAAATCAGCCTCTGCCCAGCACAGGTGATGCCGTCCTTCTTGCACCAGGCAGCTCTGATTACCACAGCCACCCAATCTAAGGAGGGTGTCTGCATGGGTATCATGAAGTGCCATAGTGTGCCTGAACGGTTCTCCTTTCCTGGATCTCAAAATAGCCCCGTGCCAGTGAGCGGAAACCAGAGGTGAGCCAGTCCTCTGTCATGGATGAGGCCCTGGAGAACGGGGACACAGTAGTATTCTGGTGACTAGACTTGGAGGAGGAGGGAGATGGAACTACCAGGGCCACTGGCCCAGGAAGCACAGAGACAGGAGCCCATTCAACAGCCAGAGGAATGGGAGTCAAAGGCACAAAAAGGCTCCTATCTGGCTGGTGTCAAGCTGGGGGCAAGAGGAAGGTGCCACCATGAGCATCAAAAAGGTTCAGAGTGTGGATCGGGACTAACAGTGGGATGGGAGACAAAGGGGACCGACCCAGCATGCCAGCACCAATGTTGGTGAAGGGAGACCGAAAGGTGTTGCAGTCTGGGGTGGGCAGTAATTTCCTGTGAAGTGCTGTAGCCATCCATTTTTGTCACTTTTGAAACACAGCAGCATGTTAGAGGGTGTACACTGGAGTTATTTTGGGGAATAATAAATGGATCGTTGTCATTTAGGACATGGAAAACACCTGTGTTCGCTGCCATTTAGTGCTGATCACTTGAAGGCTATAGGCATCTCACCAACGCATCCAAGATTGTTTTTGAAGCCAGTGTCATTTCTTGGGGAGTGCGGATCAACTGACATAGAAAATGTTTAAGGGTGACACCGGGGTGATGATCCTGGGGGTGTAGAAGGGATTCCTCCATTGTCTAAGACAAGATGACTAAAGGCAACAGTCTTGATTTTCTTCCTTTGGCTAACTTTGTATGGGCAATATACACACCTTTAGTTCAGTGTCCTTTGTAGAGAAGAATATGACATAGTTCCCTCATTGCTAGTACAAGATGTCCGTTTATGTATCTTAGGTAATAAATAGTGACAGTATCTTCTAGCAGCTTAGCTCTATTTTAGCTTTAATGTAGGCCTAAACTTATTATCACTTTCCATCAATTCTAAAACTAAATCACCCACAATGCTGAACAATGAAATAAGACCTATTTAGGACAGGAAGTACAACAGACGAGAGTGAGAATTTGGCAGCTAAAGAGACGAGGCTTCAAGCCCTTGTTTTCCATTGCTTTACCATGTGAGCAAGTGATTCTCCAGTGGTTAAAAGGGCAGGGCGTTGTCTGTCTTGTAGGGCTATTGCCCAAGTAAGCTAAGGTATGAAAGGAGAGACTTTAGCTTTGAATGTACAGAATCAGTGCAGGACTGAGTCTAATATTGATGGTGTAGATCCAAATTACAGTTGCACCTACATGACTTCAACCAGGACATGCTGGGAAATGATAGTGGGGTCAGCTTTTCTAGGACATTATATTTGCTTTGGGTTTATCTTCATAAGCATCTGTTCCCATCCTCTCGCTGGTTTATTTTAACCTAATTTTAAAAGGATCTACCTATCTAAACTTTTGGACTCTAGCCTGTCTTTTCTGTCCTTCTCCATGTGTATAACTGTGATATTTAGCATCTCCATGAATTCGCACGCATTATTGCCTTGATCTGTGTTGTCCTGCAATACCGCCAAACTCCAGTCTGTTCTTAAAAATACTCAGCTGTCCCTGACCATTCCTTTATTTCTTCATCCCTTCAGCAGGCATTAATCAGCCTATTGTTTGTCAGGAACTTGGCTGTACAAGATAAGAGGATGTTGTAAAGCTTCATGGAATCCCTCAGATAGAGTTAATCATTTCCTTCTTGCAAGTACCTTGAACATATTTCTATTCTTATTGTCCTTTATTATCACCTGTTTATATTTCTCTCTCTTATAAAACCGAATTCTCCAGACACAAGGCTCAGAGCTCAGTTTGATTTTTTTACTCTTTTGCCATGGTCCTCTACCATCGTCAGTATTCAAGAAGGTTTGTCAGAGCAAGGTGAACCATAAACAAAAGATATATACACGATGCAGCTGGTTACACAGGCAGAACCCCAAAGGATTCCTTCATGAAGGAGCAGCGGGTCTTGAGTTAAACCTTAAAGGACAGTTAAGCTTGGAAAGGATGATGGGAAAGCAAAGGGGAATGATCGAGTCCTGTTCAAAGGGCAGTAAGAAATGAAACTAAAGGCTTTGTTGGCCCAAAGGCACAAGCATTAGAGAAACACTGCGATGCACCACCAGGAGAAGTTTCAGACTCAGTGGGCTCAGGGAAGAATCCCTGAGAGAATCCCTGGCTGTCTCCCGAAGGCTTTGTCATTTTCTGAATACTTTCCCTTTTCTTCCTTGGGTCCTGACCTTGTCATGCATGCAGAAAAGGTAGGTATCATTTTTGACAATTTACAGATGAAGAATTTGAGAGAAGACAAATGCCTTTCTCAGTAGTCTAGCTAGCAAGCAACAGAGCCAGGATCGGAAGCCAGGTGTTACAAATGAATATCTCACTCTGACTATTACATGTTTTTCTCTGCTTCCCAATCTCAGTTATTTACAAAACCTGGACAAGAAGCCAGTTTTTTTTTGTTTGTTTGTTTTTTTGTCAATGACTGACTCAGTCCACACAATTACCCCTCCACTGTTAATGTGGGGACCTGTTAGCCCCTCTGCCCATGAAGCAAGAGGACAGAACCCAGGGCCCTTGCCCCTCAGTGGAGAGCCCACCCCCTACTCTCAGCAACACAGACACAAAATGTGAATCTGGGTTACGCATTCTTTTTTTGAATACAGGGTCTCACTACTTAGTTCAGGCTGCCCTGGGACTGACAGCAATCTTCCTGCCTCAGCCTCCAGAGTGCTGGGATTATAAGTGTGCACCACCATGCCCAGCTTCCATTTTCGTGAAGTGACCTGGTTTATTCTCCCTTTTGTATCTTGACACAGTGCAACCTAGGCTGGGAGAAACTTTCATCTTTTTGGTTGGAGAAACAAAGACCTTCCTTGTGGAGACAAGCTAGGACTAGTAGTATCTATTTATTCTAGTAACGTCAAAATAGCCAATCCTCATTTGGTGACTCCATTGTTTCTTAGTTGAATCTAAGCTGTTTAGTCCAAATTAATCCTTTGTTCATTTATTTATATGTTATCCATTTATTTAGAGGGAGGAGACAGTATGCATTAACCTAAACTACTTGTTCTAAACTATTTGTTTGGGTTCATATAAATACTGCCTATTTTCTCAGCAGGAATGATCTTTGGATGGGTGACATTCACTGCACGGTTTAATACAGGAGACGAGCTTACTTTGGAAAAGAGATTGAGTTATGGTTTAATACATTCTTGCTCGGTTGTACAGCTGAAGAATATTGTAAATATTTTCTGACATTTTAAAAAATGAACTAGATCGCATCTTGTTAGGGCTGGTACTCTGCAGGGTGGGTCCTCCATGCGGATTTTATACCGCTGGTGGCACAGGGCATTCTGCTGCTGTTTCCTCCCATCCTTCTTTCCTCTGTCCTGCTTTTTTCTATTCTCTTTCTCCTTTCTTTACTTTTGGACTTTCTGGGATGTCTGGTGTCTGCCCCAGGTGGCCTTTCTAAATCCCTTTTTTTTTTTGTCTTTTTCCTTTTTATCGGTACCGGGGATCGAACTCATGACTGCTTGCTTGCAAGGCAGGTGCTTATGCCGCTGAGCTAAATCCCCAGCCCCTCTAAATCCCTTTTAACAGATGATTCGAGCTCCTAGAGAAAACTTCCGAAATGCTTGCTTTGTTTGATAACTTGCAGAGCTGATGATCTACTTATAAAGTCAGATTCAGGTGGAGAATTAAAGGAATTATCTGACTAGTGACCAAAACATTGCTATCTTTGACAAGGCTATTTAAGCCTTAGCAATGCATACAACCACTTACTTGGTAACTAAAAGCCTAATCAAATATTTACTTCACATTGCTAGTGAATGACCCAGACATACATTTTTTTAGCCTATGAGTGGGATCGTTCAAATATTTACAGTCACAGAATAATCTCAAGAACATAGCTTCAAAACAGTCTATGATCAGAAAAAAATATTTCAAGAAATCAATAATCAATTCGAGTACAACAATTATAAATGTAGCTCCTACCTGAAACACACTCAGGAAAGAGCTTCCGTAATGATGAAAGTCTTTTGAGATGAAGCAGTCCGGATTCTAGGAGGCAGTGTCCATCTTCCTGGGTATGTAGGCAGCTGTGCATCCATATGTATAAGGATGTCTATATATAGGTTATGTAAGGCAGTGGACGAATTATCTTTCTGTCAGCTTTAATAATTAACTTTCATTAACTTTTACAATAATGGAAAGACTCCAATGTGTCGTGACCTTTGAGATCTGATTAGCAGAAGCGATGATGACAACAGCTTCCTCAAGTTCCTTGTGAGATTAAACCACCCATTGCACGTCTATTGGTTTGCAGAGATTTGTACAACAGATGTAAAAAAAATCGGTGCAAGGGTTATCTCCCTGACATTTTCCCTACAGGTTTAGATGGGAGTGAAGAGGTTGTTTCTTCACAAGCCAGGTGACTCCACGAAACTCTGTGAGACAGTGAGGTACAAGTTAACCCTGAGGATGATAAAGATCCTTGTTGGAAAGGCTTTTTCACCTTCAGGCAACATCTATTTACTCTCTGATTTTCATTCCGCGGCTGCTCTTGCTAAAACCAATAAACCCCGTGTTGCTGAGCCAATGTCTATTTCCAGTCCTCATTTTACTTAACCTTTTAGCACTGGACTCTGCTACAACTCTTCCTGGAAATCTCCTATGGGGGCAGAGATGAGATTTGTTGATGATGTTGTGAAGGTGAGGGGTACCCCGCAGGGGACGCTTGCAGGAGTGTAAGGCCAGTCGCTTGTCCAAGGCCAGCGATTCAGGCTGTATTTCACCCGGTGGCCATCACGGATGAGGCGCTTCTAAGAAACCACCCTGCCTTTAAATCTGTCTGCACTCATTGAACTTGGTGAAGCCCCACTTTGAGATGTGAATATTCTGGTGGCCAGGGGTCTTGAACTTGGCCCTACTCATGGCCTGCTTCACATGGTGCAGATGGCCACGATGACCTGTCCAATGTGAACCCTTCCCACTGTGCCCCGGGCCTTCCCTAAGGCCACCCACATTCCTGTCTGCAGCCTGGACTGGGGATGGCAGGAGGTCAGCAGGAGGTCAGATACAGAGCACGAGCATGCACAGGGAAGCACTGTCTCCTAAGCCCCTTCAAGCCTGTCTCCTGGGCTGTACATACGAGTATTAGGCTCTGTGCACCACTGAGGAATTGCTGTTCGCAGCCACTGTATGCTGGGCACCCACCAGCAAAGGCACCTAGTAGACCTCATTGACTGCAGAGAAATCTCCTGCTTTTAAAATATTTTTAAAAATGTTTTACCACACTTCATTTTTCAGCCCATACTTCGCTGTCAGCTCCTCTATTCAGTTCCTTCTTTAGCATTTTCTTCCCCTAGGTTCTTTCCTGGGCTCTGTTCTCTTCTCCTTTCTCTCCCCATGGCTCACAGTGTCTTTTGCATTTGTAACTCTGGCCCTCAAGACCCACATATTTAAATACTTGCCCAACTTCATTGCTTGGATGCCTGACTGCACCTCAAACTTAACACATTCGAATCTGAACCTGTTGACTTCCTGATCTCAGCAAGCCCCCTGTGGTTTTGTCTCACAGCATTGTGTACTTTAAAAAATATATACATAATTTAATAATCATAATTTAAAAACACACAATTGTATAATTGTGTAGCGTTTTGCTCCTTTGTTAGTATGAAAGCCCCAGGCAGGCAGGGATCATAACTGTCTTTCTACTGCATCCCCAGAACCTAGAATGAATCAACAACAGAGCAACCAAACATAAAATAAAATGAAACCATACTGGTGGAGGCTGGGCGTTGTGGTATATTTCTATAATCTCAGCTACTTGGAAGGCTGAAGTAGGAGGATCACAAGTTCAAGGCCAGCCTGGGCAATTTAAGTAAACCGTGTCTCAAAAGTATTTTAAAAAGTACTAGGGCTGGGGATGTTAGCTTAGTGGCACAGTGCTTGCCTGGCAAGTTATGAAGTCATGAGTTTGACCCCTGGTACAAAAAAACAGTCTAAGGGTGAGTTGGTCCCACTATAAAAATATATGTTTGAATTATATTTAGTATAACAATTCCAAAAGAATAGCTAGGTCACTAGAGTTTGTTAGAAACTAATCTAGCCTATTTTTAAAAATCTGGCTGGTTCACATGGTAATTCTACTTTTTAGTATTTTGACATTTCCAAAAGGGTCGTACCAATTTCCATAATTTCTGTGCTAATTTACATCAATCCCATTTCTGGGTATGAATCTAAAGGAAATGAAATCAGCATGTGAAAGAGTTGTCTGCACTCCCATAATCACGGCAGCATTAGTTGTAATAGCCAAGCTATGAGAGCCCAAGTGTCCATTGACAGATGAATGGATTAAAAAAGTGGTGTCCATTGTCACTTTCCTATTACCTTGTTTCAGAATCCTGTGTCACTTACATTGTCTTGTTCTGATTGGCTTTATTCTGTTTTGCTTAGCTTTATTCTCTCTAAAATAAAATTTAAAAAAGTGATGTATACATACACAATGAATATAAAGAAGAAATAAATCTGGCCATTTGTGGCAACACACATGAAACTTGAGGATATTATGTTACCTAAGGCAGGCCACATGTCACTACTCTGTGGAATCTTAAAAAGTTGAACTTATATAAAAACCAAAGAGAGTTATGGTTGCCAGGAAACTAGCAAAATGAGGAGATACTGGTCCAACTACAAACTTTCAGAGATGAATAAGTGCTGGAGATCTAATGACTGTAGTGAACCGACATGTTTACATACTCAAGATCTGCTAAGAAAGTTGATCTTACGTGTACTCACGGCACCCACAATGGATAGAAATGTGAGGTGATAGATACATTCATTAGCTTCATGGCAGCAGTCAATTCAATGTGAACATGTATCAAATCACCATACTGTACACTTTAAATATGCACATTTTATTTATCCAAAAGAACAATAAGCTAGGAATGTCTATTTTGATCACAATAAATTTAAACAAAGAGAAACAAAAATGCTTATGTTACACACCAAATATATAAAAGTAAACAATGAAATAAAAAAATTAGGGGTGGTTGTTTCTGGGGAGATAGAAAGTTTTCTGGACAGGTTGCAAAGTGGGCTTTAACTGTGTCTGGAGTATTTTCTTTCTTTTTTTACTGCAGACTTAAAAATTGTTTTGAGGTGTGTGTCTCAGTTGTTTTCTTGTCATTGAGATATAACATCGGACATCCACAACTCTTAAAGGAAGAAGAGAGGTTTATTTGGGCTCATGTGCTAGTCTGAGTCTGTAGTCTGCTGGCGCCCAGGCAGGATGGCCTGGCACAGGAGTATGGCGGAGGAGTTGCTGCTCATCTCATGGCAGCCAGGAAGCAGAGAGCTGGGGGAAGAGCAGGGAAGGGAGATAAAGGCTTTCATGTCATTCCACCTCTTCCAACCAGACTCTACCTCCTGAAAGCAAGTCTCTTCTAAGCTGCCATAATCCCGTCACTCTCCAAGAGCTCCACCTAGAAGCACATGAGGCTTTTGGGGGACATCTAGATATAAACTATAGCGGTGTCTATTAATTTCCCAGCTGCCTAGGAAAAAATTCCCAGTATAAATTTATTGCATCACAGTTCTGAAACCCAGATGTTCAAAATGAAGGTGTCAGCAAAGCTACGTTCCTATAAGATGCAGGGCAGAACCGCCCTTGCCTCCTCCTACACCTGGTGGTGGTTATTGATCCTTGGCATCCTGGTCCTGCAGGCATTTCCCTCTGGTACCTGCTCGTGTGTTCACATGATATTTCACTGTATGTCTGTCTTTCCCCATCTTTGTCATTTTTAGCCTATTCCACTCTAGCGTGACCTCATCATACCTAATTGCATATGCAGTGACCCTATATTCAAATAAGGCTGTATCTGAACTACTACTGAAGTTGCCTTTTTCAATGTATTTTTTCTTTTTTTGAGAGACACAATTCTATCAATAACAAGGTACAGTTTATATGCACTGAAATGTACAAATCTTGAGCAGATATTTTGATGAATTTTGATAAATGCTCATACATTGGTTAGTTTTTTATTGATCGTATAACGAATTATCACAGGCTTTGTGACTTGAAGCAGCACAAACGTGTTATCTTACACTTTTACAACTTAGAGTGCTGACATGGATCTTATTGGCCTAAAGTCAAGGGAGCAGCAGGGCTGTGTTCCTTCCTGAAGGAGAACCTGTTTCTTTGTCTTTCCTAATTTCTAGACAGCACCCATTCCTTGGCTCCTGACTCTTTCTCCCATGTTTGGAGCCAGCACTGTTGTATCTCTCCGCCCTCCCTCTGATAATAGCCTCCCTCTGTGACCACAGGGAGGAAAGGTTCTCTCTCTTAAGGGCTCATGTGATTAGATCAGGTCCATTCAGAAAAATCTCTCCACTGCAAGGTTCTTAACTTTAATCATAGGTCTTTTAAACTATACATGTCTCGTGCATTAGGACATGGCCATTTTTGGAAGTCATGTAATGCCCACCCAATCAAAATAGAGAAAACTTTCCTCTCCCCAGGAAAATATCTTTATACCTTTTCTATGTTAATCCTAGCCAACTCCCAGAGGCAATCTCCGTACTGATTTCTATCATTTTTGATTAATTCGATTAGAAGTTCATATAAGTGAGACACACAGTATGTTCTCTTTTGTGTATGACTTAATGTTTTTGTGGTTTTTCTACTTTGTTACATGAATCAGTTGCCTTTTCTTTTTTATTGTTGGATAGTATTCCATTGTATGGTTATGCCAAAATTTGTTGATAATTCTCTGGTTAAACATTTGGATTATTTCAAATTTGAGTCTATATATTAGGAACATTCTTATACAAGTTATTTGTAGAAATATATTTTTAATTCCTCTTGAGTACTGGAAAAATTAGTAGGCCAGGGAATAGAAATATGTTTAACAACATAAAACTGCCAAACAGTTTTGAAAGTGATATTACCAATTTAAACTCCAATCACTGATGTAAGAAAAATTCCAATTGCTCTTTTTGTCAATATTTGGTATTATCAGTTTTCAGTTTTAGCCATTTGTTTTATTTCTTAAAAAAACATTCAAACAAACAAACAAACAACTGCAACACCGTAATAAATGTTTCTTAAAATTTTAGCCTAAGTGTCATGAATTAAGA